GATCCTGAGGCACTCAATGAAATCATGTTGGCCGATGACCAGGCAATGATGAACAATGACAGGATCCACCTGCAGGAACACACTGACCAACTCAGCTCAAGCTGTGAGAAATATGACATGAAGATCAGTGTCAGTAAGACCAAGGGTATGACCATCAGCAAGAGATCAGAAAAACTGGACATTAACATTAATGGGACCCAACTAAAGCAAACCAGCGAATTCAAATATCTGGGAAGAATATTTACTGAAAACAGGAAACTAGACAGAGAAATCGAGACCAGATGTCAGAAAGCCACCGCAGTCAGTTACCAATTTGCTCCTCTTCTAAATCATCCTAGTATTTCCATGAGCACCAAGGCAAATCTCATCAATGCCATTTTCCTACCAATGCTGACATACCAGTGTCAGACATGGCCCCAAACAAAAACACTTGAGAGAAAACTGATCACTTGTGAGATGAAATGCCTGATGAAAGCAGCGAACAAGACTAGGCGAGACAAGATTAGGAATGAGGTAATAAGAGATATGGTAGGAGCAATACTAATCATACAACACATCGAACCAGAGAGGATCAAGTTGTTCGGACACCTCACTCGTATGCCTATCAACCAACCAGCCCTACGAGCATACACCCTCCCTCAGGTACTCTGGCTGGAGAATGAGAGGCAGACCAAGAAGATGCTGGAGCAACTCAGTGGCAGACACTCTCAGAGCCTAAGAGATATCTCTCCTCCAGGCCATTGCCTTGCCACTGACAGATGAGTGTGTCACCCTGTGATGCCTAACAGCATAAGAGGAATGAAAAACTAAAGTAAACTACATTCAGGTGGAAGACGTATATGAAGTGAAAGAGATTACACCCATACACAACAGGAAATTAGGATTTCTTTTTCATGAGAGGAGAAATAGATTTGATAATATTCAGGTGGAGGACATACACAAGGTGACAGATAACCCCCATGCACAGTAGAAATTGAAAATTTCTTTTCATAAAGAAGGAATAGATTTGATAGCATATTCAGGTAGAGGGGATACATGAGGTAAAAGACAACACAAACAGCAGAAAATCTTGTTAGAAAAAGATTTGAGAGAAGATTGTTAAGAGATGATGACATCTATCAGAGATGGAATTGAAATTTTTATTATTGCATTATTTCAAAATTTTAGCATTTCAGCAGATAGCTATTAATGTCGACAACTGAACACAAATAGTTATTAATGTATAATATTATCTATAGCTACATGATTATTTCCACAGTGCAGAGAATAAATCACTAAGTTCAGACGCAAACATCAGGGGCAGAAAGAAATGGCGAAAACTCGATTCGCAGGTACTATCTCACTGTTATGGTCCGGTTCCTTGCACAGTGATAGTCCAAAGTAGAACCAATAAAGAAGAACGCGAACACAGGTATGGAATAACACAGATATATTACAAACAGGAATATATACAGAGAAATAGAAGTGTTAGTATGAACAATCAGGTTTAGTAGAGAGAACAGTGTAGTCTCGACCAGTATCATTATTCTAATGTCTTGCTGTAATTGTCTGAACATGACTGTTTCGGACTGCCTCTGATTCGACTCGACTTGAACTACTGACTCTCGCCTACTGACTGAGGCGCAGTATTTATTAAGTATGGAATAGTCGATTATTATTATTATTATTATGGGCAAGATCCCATAACACTCACAAATCACAATGCACGCAATCAGTCAGAATAATAACTCACTCTCCAACAAACGCGGTAGCCAAAATACCCGATTTCTCTCAATTCAAGAACACCAACTGCTTTTATCGGCTGAGCATTATTTCTATTCGTCGACAGCTGGCAGAGGACATTCAATTTTTGCATATCAAAATACTTTTATAGCAACTTCTGCGATGGACTTGTTTTTTAAAATTACTAAACTGATTCAATTATTATATGGATACTGTTACATACTTACATATCCAGACCCCTAACCACACATACACTTAAAAAACCATCTCTCTTCCTCCTCTCTGTAATATGTTACATTCTCTCACACTATCTTACAATCTGTCATAATAGTCGCCGACTTCAGAACAATTGGACCAGACAGGCTGATGACCTTAGAAACAGATTTGGATGAGAGCTAAAAATAGCTTCTCACACACATGCAGAATCACGTGATCAAGTACAAAAAGTTGAGCAGGAAAATATTGGAAGAACTACTAGGGCAACAGATCTTAAGCGATCAACACCTGTTCATTTATTATCATCAAGCAAAAGAAATCACATAATGAACTCCAGTTCCAACTCCCAAATTCCCTATGCTGCATATATCAAATGCACAGGTGAATTACTAAGGGAGATAATCACCTAAGACAGGCATGTGTAGCCCAACCTGTAGGTAATTCAGTTCACCTGTCCTTTGCGATGACTGAAATGGATTAAAGCGCTTGCTTTCTTCTCCAGTCCTCCGCTCTACCAACTGAGCTGTCACAAGTAACTTCTTCCTTATTCTCTCATTCTCGTCAGTACATACATATGCCATCATGCCAACAAAAGTTCTGCCATCTTCCTCACAGACTCGCTATTTATGCCTGTGTTGGGAGCAGCTAAAATTTGCATACGGGACTTAATTCTTGTTCGCCCAAGACTTTCTATTTTATAAATTCAAGCTGGTTTGAATTCTTAGTCTTTTTTCTTTGTACGTCTGCACGCGAGATAGGAATTTCAGAATAACAAATTTCGCTTTTAATGCTGATCGCAATCTTTCAACAGGATCTGACACGCTTTGTGGGAGGTAAGTCTTCTCGTTCCTTACACAACCAATTATTCAATTGAAGAAAAGCTATGACTGATACAGAGCCGAATCCTTCTTAACCAAATGATAAATTCTACATTGCTGAATATTTGAAAAAGGGAAACACCCATCACTTGGAGTCTGAGCTTATAACAGTGAAGAAAGAATAACAGATCAAAAGATATTGCTGTACGAGCAGAAAGAATTGAACTGAAATTAAAGAGAACAAAAAAAAAAAAGAAATATAAAGAAAGAGACAAAGGAAAAGAGAAAACTTATTTTATTTTAGGTAAGAGACTAAAAGCTAAGGGTTTGCTTTGACTTTTCATATAACATATAAAGTGCATACATCTTTCCACACAAAAATATATTGCACACACCTTTCCATGCACAAACATTTTTATGTGTTGCCTTGTTATACAGGTATACCTCACCCTACGTCACTAATTGGTTCCAAAGATCACAACTTAAGTCAAAATAATCACACTATAAACTGCAAATAAGCACTCCCTATTGCATATTACAGTATTTATGATATGTACATACAGTATTCTGAATGAAATAATTCAAAATAATTAAGTAAAAACCAATTTAAAATTTTAAGTAAACTCGTGTAACCTAAGGCAAGTTTTATTTTTCCATATAATATTTAAGAAAAACTGATGTTTCGAAAATGACTTAATGACTTAACTTGAAACAACTGAAGCCGAGGCATCACTGTAATTAAATGTTATTAAATTGTATTCCAATATTTGTTGTTTGTTACTGTTGGCTATTTGAATCTATAAAAGAACCCTCGACTGAGGAGTGGAAAACCTTGGTCATATCTTTGACAAGTTGGGGTTTTTTTTTTTTACTTTTTCTTTTTTTTTTTTTTTATAGCATGTGTAGCAGCAATCGGATTCATAACAGTCTCTTGTCCACTGCCATAATGTAGCTTCCCTGTGCCTTTTCTATGCATACTTTCATGGTAATTGTTCTGATGAACTTTCTCTGGTACCAAGACTTTATGAATTTAAGTGCAGTACTAAATTGGTGGCAAGATCTTATCATTTTACAGTTGAAATGGCTAGATGTATCTAAGTTCTATGCTAACAGTTTCTTCTCTCGCACTTCTCACTTGTGGAACTCTCCTTCTATTTTTCTTGCTTCCCAGTCAACTTTGATCTTCAAAAATGTAAATGCAATGTCAATGATTATTTCCTGTTTTCTTAATTCTGTTCATTTATTGTACTCTTTTCTTAATAGCGATTTTTTTTCTCATATTCTCCCACATTTGGTAACCCCTTGTGTCTTAGTGGCTGTATTGCTTTGCTTGGGGTGAAATAATTACAAAAAAAATTAAGTCTTTTGGATCTGTGAAGCCCTTGTTAGGAACCTGTCACCAAGAGATTCTGCAGATCCTTTAGTTGGGAACCTGTTCACAGGGTTTGCTGTCTCCTGCACCACACCTTCAGACACTCTGGTCTATATTATGATTTATATATGTTTGTGCGCGTTACTATAACAGCAAAAGCAGCATGTCATAGCACAATAAAATGCCCTAACTTGGAATATAAAGCAATTTCTAGTTCAATCAGGTCACTGGTTTCCATTTAAATTTTAAAGTATATATATAAAAAGAGAGAGATAGCAAAAAGGGATAAAAGTCTTTTCAAGGGAAATAACTTAAAATATATTAACTGATTACACTATTTACATTATTTGGACTATTGTCCTCATCTTGGTCGCAATATTTATTACGTTTCAGCCGTTGTATGCTCCAGCCTTCTTCAGGTGGTTGGAATGTCAAACTGAACCCTTTATTTCGCTCACTGGGGTAGACTGTTCTAGTTCCACGTGCCATGTTTTTTTTTTAATGGATGTCAGTTATCAGTTATCTCCTGTTAATTCCTCTTTATCCACTGTGTCATGTGTCCTTGAGGGCACATGGCACAGTGGATAAAGGGTGTTGGTTAGATCCAGTGACAGGACCCAAAGAGTGTGAGTTCAATACCCAGTTAAGGCAGTGGAGAACTTGGAGAGGGAAATAAAATCCTCTGTACAAACCAATAGTGTGTGTCATGCAAGTAAAACTCAAAACTTTAACAAATTACAATAAAATATTACTGAATTATTTTTAAATTATTAATTATAAAGAACTGATAATTTACTTTTTCATCCAAATCTTTCCCTCCAATCTAAGTGGAAATATAATTATTTGCAAAAGAGAAGATTACACCAACTCACTTGAATTTCTTGCCAAACATCTTCATCCATGGCAGTTGAGGATGTTATGTGTTGTATTGGAATAATTAAACAATGCCCTTCTGTTAATGATGGACCATCAGGAAGGCATATATAAGACTGGTGAAATAGAAAACAAAAGTAATCACATTAAGGGAGAATTTAAACAGGTCTTTAAAAGTCTGAAGTTAAATATTTTCATTATTAATTCTTCCAATGTCTTTCCTTTATCTTGTTGCTTTTTATCCTAAGTTTCAAAGCTAAATATATAATATGAGCAATAAAAAAAATAGTTTCAGATATGAAATGAATTTACATCTTGTATGTCTAAGGGTAATCTTTCATGGATGATGACTTAGCTAATTTAGCCACAGAAGTATATAGTTAGACAATTGTATTACAGCTATATTTCTACTCTAAATTTTCATGCCATATTAGTATTTTTATTTTTTAATTTTGATCAAGTCAGGCTTGGACCTGCTACTGGGAACTCCATGTAACCTGCTACATGGATGGGTGGTTGGAATCTAAACCTGCTCACCCACTAGCTTTTATGGCATGACACCTAGCAGGACAAAAAACAAGACTTGTCAAAGAGGAGATAAGCTTTTTATAGGAGTCAAGATTGCAGTGAAGCCATAAACAGACTGTCTCAATTTGGTGCTGAGATCAATGTCAACTAGAGAGAGAGAGTGCAATGGATAAATTGATTGTTGTCTAAATTATTCAAAAATGAAAATAACACTGACATCTCATTCTAACAGATATATTTACCAAAATTATACAAAAATATCTTGAAATATCAAAGACTAAATTTATTCAATAAAATCACTATTGGCTTCAACCACGACCTCCAAATGATTTTGGAATCTCCTGCAACTCTTCTGGATGGTCTTGTTGTTTAAGTTGGTGAATGCTGCCATAATCCTTGACTTCAGTTCATCTTTGGTATTACAAGGAGTTTTGTTGGTTTGCACCCCACATATAATAAAGGATGTTTCTGCCTGGAGAGATAGGTGGCCAGATGTAAGGAGTGATGTGATCACAGTAATTGTCTGACAGCCATGACTGGGTTCTTCTGCTTGTGTGGCATGGTGTAGAGTCCTGTTACCAGACACAGGGTCTTCCAGCAGCCACTCTCTTGACCCAGGGTAGCACTACCTCTTCAAGGCACTTGATATAAGCCTTTACACTGAGGTTGAGGCCCTCACCAACAAATTTGGGAGTTCTTTTCTGATCAGAACGATCAGAGTAAGTTTTCTGAGCTGCCGTAATCACCATTAAACTCATCCAACTGTTTGCAAATCCTCTGTACTGTCCTCAGATTGACACCCAAACACTCTGAAATGTTTGTATTGGAGCTTCTGGTGCAAATGCACAGTACAGTATGCCATTTCTAAATTTCTGGTGGAGTGAATTGTGTCCTGGTGCTCTTTTTCTTCACAAACAATGCCCAATAAAATCAAAAACAAACAATGTGCATGTGCAAAATATAAAATGGCAACAATTTATCCATCACACCACATATATTACAGATTTACTAATTTAAAAATATGGTTCCATTGCTACACAGGAATTACTATGTTTCAAAAACCGAAACTAAAAACTTTAAATTTAATTACAGAATTAAATTAAAATCCTTAGTACTGTTTCATTCTAAAGCAATTCTTGGTAGGGTATTCATTTTCACTGACAACTTGTGTATCAAAATATGAGTTACTTTACAAATGAGGATAAGTTAAGGTAGGGTAGGGGGTGCCTGTTTGACAAATGATGACATCTGTTTATCACACGTCATCTGGTTTTTTTCAATGACAAAAAGTTTTTCGGCACTTTTAATTTTGCAGTTAAAATTTATACTTGTATACACAGATTTTTTTTCAAAAGGGTCATTTGAATATGAGTACGTCATATTAAAATACAATTTTAAATTATTATTCCTAATTCTAATTACTAATAGACTATACTTCTTTTAGAACAAATATATTAGAATCAAGATCATGTATAAATATGTATGTTTCATATTTCATCTCTTTTTTTTTATTCATTATTTAAAGAAAATGTTTATGCTCTGAAGAATTGTAGTGAGCACTGTTTGTTAAAAATAAAAATAATTAATAAGAACAGCAGATTATAAATCTTACTGTTCTTTCTCTTTATTTTAAAATATATATAAATATATATATATATATATAAAAAGAAAGAACAGTAAGATATATAATCCGGTGTTCTTATAGATATTTTTATTTTTACAAAATAGTGCTCAATGTAAATTTACAAAGCATTAATATTATAAATTAACTGATTTAAAATATGGTTTTTTTTGCTACACAGTTCTAAACATGTTTCAAAAATGGAAGCTAAAAACTTTAAATTTAATTTTGTAATTAAATTAAAAACATTAGTTCCATTTCATCCTCAAGCAAATTTTGGAGTAACTTATTTTTAAATTTACTGAGTTTTAAAAGCACGGCAAAAATTCATAATTCACTGTTTCCAAGGATACAGAGAAGTCCACTCATCCAGACAAGGGGTGGTTGCGTGTTCATTTTTATTAACGTTTGTTGTATCAGTTATTAGTTACGTTCGAAAAAGGGGTTACGTTTAGGTAGGGGTAGGGATGTATTTTTCAACAAATTCTGGCATAGGTCAAATGCATGTCTGGATTTTTTAAAAATTTTATTGTTAACAGCAAAAAATTCTTACGGCATTTTTTTCTATTTGTATACTTTTTTGGGGATGTTTAGGTTAGAATACATTTTATTTAACTACAATTTTAAAATATTTTCACTTTTAATAGACTATATTTCTTTTTAAAACAAGTAAATGTATTAAAATTACTTACAGTATGTAAAATTATTTTTTCACATCAAATATAAGTATGTATATTACCAGGTTGCACTTTTTAATTTTATTTTTAAATATTATTTAAGGAAAGTTTTTGACAATGACGGCACAAAATAGCCATTTCATTTCTCTGATTCAGTAAATTTTTTATTTTTCATAAACTTAGTAATATATAGTTTCTCATGTATGTACAAAGGACATGGTTCATTTAATGACCTACATATTCTAGCTTTTCTTATTAACTTCCATTTTACTGTAGGTGTTTTATTGGATTCTTTAAGGTGCCAGAAGTACTTTGAGAGAGATGTTTGATTTTTATATTTATTTATCCTAAATGAACTTTGATGTTGGTTGAATCTTTTTTTGAACTCATGGCTTGTGCAACCTATATATATTTTTATGTTTTCAGGATTTTCAATGTCTTTAATTTAATTACAAAATTAAATTCGAAGCTTTTAGCTTCCATTTTTGAAACATGGTTAGAACTGTGTAGCAAAAAAAAACATGTTTTAAATCAGTTAATTTATAATATATATATATATATATATATATATATATATGGTATAATGATATATAATTTTTTTATATATCAAGAACAGTTTTTGATATATAAGACTAAGATGAGGTCTCAAGCCTTAAATGGCAACCTTCCTAGAGATAGTCTCTTGATAAAAACATTGTGTACTAACTCAAATGTTCACAGTAGTGAGCATTTGAGTTAGACTTCAATAAGGGCATCTGGTCTTGTAAAACCTTGCTGCAAATCATTATGTCAGGCAGGACCCTCCTTACTTTGTCCAAAATTAATCCTGGTCCTGCCTCAAGAAAAAAATACAGCTATGTATGTAATGCGGAATAATATATTTTAGATTGTTTGGAAACTGAGGTGAAATGTTGTCATGAATAATAATTTGCTTTGCTTCATCTTATGTTTCTATTCTTATTTCAAAAGGCAGACGATATTGTAATTAGAACCTTGTGATGAAAATCATTTTGATTTTGGCTAGTTTTCATCTTATTGTTGTGTTTTATCTTAAAACCTCAATAATTGTGTTTTGAGATGCAAGTCTAATTGGAAGATATGTTTTTATTCTTATTTAAAAGATTAGGCAATATTTGATTTAGAATTTTGTGATAAAAAGCAGGATTAATTTTTAGCTAATGTTCATTTTATTGTTGTATTTTATTGCAACGTTCTCAGGTGAATATTCTCCAACTGTTAAATTAACACGTTTGCATTATTTCAAATGACAAATATTTAAAACTAGAGGAGAGACAAATAATTAAAAACAATTGAAAAGAAAAAGTTTCTTACTTTTTGTCCAATGGAAACAAGGAGATGTTTTGCAACTTTCTCAAAACATAATTTACAGTTTTCAATGGCTGAAGACATCTTTTTATGTTCTAAATGAATAAATAAAACAAGGATATATTTTCCTCAATTAATAACCAAAAAAGCAGTTTGCACATCATTAAAGATTACATAAGGCTTATTTGTTTAAAAAGTTTCCTTGCAGATAAAAATAATAAAATATTTCTATTTCATAAGATTTGTTCAATAAAAAATATTAAAATGTTATCTCTTGTTTATAACTCAATTTTCAACAACAGTTGCAATTTCTTTTGACAAATGTCATAATAACTGTATAGACTCATTGTTTCAGGGTAAGAAATGAACCAGATGTTTCACCATTGAATTTTTATTCTCTTAATTTTCATTTTAAAATTGATTAAACTTTAATTTGAAAAAAATATTAGAGTGGTTCCCATTGTCTTCTGTACAGTTTGGAATTCAGGTTTGTTTTTCTCTTAGACTGGCTGTAACACAAGGCTAGAGAGCCCTGTCTACCCATAGCTGATCTTTGGGGTGGGGGTTGACAAAAGATGAAGTATTGCCTTTTCCAAGAGTATATTACAAAAGTGAATATAGCTGACTATTCAATAAAAAACAAAGCTAGCCTATACGATATGTTATTTATGCATGCATTTTTGGATTACAGCTCGCTATAATTCATCAACTGCACAAAGGGGTGCTGAAAATTACTTGAACCATTCTATTTCCCAAAATCTGACAAAATGACCAAACATTAGAATTTTATATTTTTTTTAAATCCTCTTTTAGTTATGCGAAGAAGTTTTCAACACACCTTCATATAATTCAACTATCTAATGCTCATCCTTCCATCTACAATACCAGTAGGTTAGGTAGAATATAATATTTGGACATTTTTATGGAGAAAGAAGATAAAAACAAGAACAAGGCAAATTAAAACAAAACAAAAAAAAATTATCTTCTGTTATAACTGATTTAAATTTGATTTAAATTCTTAATTTCTAATTTTATCTAATTTTTATCAAAACAGAATTCTTCATATTAGAAGATGAGAAACTTACCAAATATGGCACGAGCCTTTTGCAGATCAAATGTCTTTGCTTCTGAATCTTTCTTAGCAGCACGAGACACAAAGATATCATCAACTTGATAATCTTCATCTGTCTTTTCAACTGACTGAAACACAGTAAATTATTTCATAAAAGACAGATAGGAAATTTTAACAAGAATGGAAATAGTGATTTTCCAAGAAAATAGCACTTCAGTTGCCAACACAGTAGACTGACAAGGTTTTACAATATTATTTTATTATAAGTTTAACTCCATTGTATTATTGGGTCAATGAACTCTATTTTATTACTAGTTTTATTCCATCTCATTATTGTTGCTTTTTACCACAACACTCTGGCTCAATACAATCTTCATTATTACTATTATTTTATTAATAGCTTTAGTCTATTTTATTATTGCTGATTTTTATTCCTAAGAATCAGATTAAGTAATAAATTCTGTCATATTAATGAATAAAATTCCACCACTTCTTTAGAAATTGTTTTGTTTATGTTAGGATAGGAAACTGAGCAGATATGAAAAATTTTGAGAGATGGAGAAAGATTTGCATTTATAAGACACTATTATTCAACTTCATGGACGAGATGTCTAAAGCACATCGGATCTAATGATGGTTTCTCCTGCCCAGGGTGACACAGGCTAGCATCCTGCTGGTGAGTGCATATTTTTCTTGAATATTCAGGCCAGTAAACAAAAACAAATATACTGTTTAATAAATAAACAGAGCATTTACTCAAGTATGGGTATGTACTAAAAATAACATTTAATGTGATAAATCTGTATGATTAATAAATAAAAATCCATCACTTTTTTAGAAATGGGCATATTAAAAAAAAAATGCTATCTGTTGTATGTCAAAAGAAATCCTTTATTTTCTATGCTTTTCACTTCCCATATTACACAATGAAATTATCTTATGGCATATAAGGATACAACATGCGATTATTTCCCTTTGGTTGAGATAAGTCATATAAGTAACAAGACTGGTGAGTCATTCACTTAGTTTATAGTAGCCAAACTGAACAGCTGCTTTTTTAAACTGGGTCAAGTAGTCCAGGCTGAGGCTAAATCTAACTCACCCAGCAGCTTACAAGCACATGGGAATATATCTTTGGAAATCTATCTTCCCCACAGATAGAAGAACCTCCAACTCACAGTTCTCAATTTAGGAAAATCCAAGACTTGCTATTTCCCATTCACAGAATACGTCCCTGCCTGGGAGATAGTATATAAATCCGGCAAAAGCAACAAATAGTTTTTACTAAGATTGTTTTTCACTAGCATGAACCATGAAACGAATTCAGGATAGAAAGTAGACATTTAAGTAATCAAATATTCCTCATCCCAGAAAAAAATTACTTTTCATATAAATAATATTTAAGATTTATTTTCCAATAATTATCGATATAAAAAGCATCTAGCTGTATATAAAGTTCTGTGACTTCCATTAGTTTGTCTGTCACACCCTCTAAAATAGCCATACATTGACTGATCAACACCAAATTTTAGGGAGAAGTGCAAACCGGTAAGAGGGTACAAAGCACAGTTGGTTTTACTAGTGTGTGTAGCTTAGTACAATACATTTTCATTAATTTTTTTGACAAAATTAAAAGTTTAAGGTTTTATCTAGAAGAATCTAGTTTCAAGTTCACCCTGCAGTTGCAAGAACTATAACCAAATCACAAGGTCAAAACTAAAAACGTATGTATTAAAAGAATACAGAAAATTTATTTGGCATCGACTGGATGGAGAAATTTAAGTTATGGGACATGCCAATTAATTCTTTTTGTCAAAAACTTGAGAACCTGACCACCAAGGCAGAAAAATTAATAAAAGATTTAAAAGAAATTTTTCCAGAAGTGTTTTCTGGGGACTTTGGTCAGTGTAATAAGATGACAGCAAAATTCGAGTTAAAAGATGACATCCAGCCAGAAAGAAATGTGCCTTTCGGCTCTTTACCACAAATAAATGAAGAACTGGGGTCATGTCAAAAATTGAGTACAGTCAATAGGCTTCACCGACCGTCTATGTGAAAAAGAAGTCAAAGGAGATCCAGGTCTGCACCGATTTCTTAATGCTGTACTCAAAGACTATCACTACCTTTTACCAAGCCCGGAAGAAATTTTCGCAAAACGGGAGAAAAAAATAAAAATCAACCTTAGTGATGCATATCTTCAAATACTGATGGAGGAAGAATGTTCTAAGTTGCTCTGTATCAACACCCATCATGGTTTGTACAAGTTCCAATATCTACCTTTCAGGATGAATGTTGCACCGGCAATCTTCCAACAAGTAATGGACACTATGCTGAGCAGTCTTGACTTTGAGGTTGCATATTTGGATGACATACTAATAAACAGCCAAAATATAGAATAACACAAGGAACATGTTTATAAAGGCTTCAAGAATTCAGGAGTACGGGTTCAAATTGAAAGAATCAAAATGAGATTTCTTTATGGAGAAGATTAAATATTTGGGGCACATTATCGACAAAGATGGCAGAAGACTAGACCCAGAACGGGCTACCGCAATCAAGGACATGCCAGCTCCCAAAAACGTATCTTCATTACAAAGTTTCTTAGGTTTGGTAACCTACTACCAAGTTTTTATATTTAATATGCACAACTTTCATGCTCCTCTAAACGAACTTCTGAAAAAAGACAAGGACTGGGAGTGGACACCTGAATGCCAGGAAGTATTTGTCAAAATAAAAAAAGTGTTGACATCAGACTTATTTCCCACCCACTATAACCCAGACCTGGACATTATAGTGGCCAGCGACGCCAGCTCGTATGGCATTGGAGCATGTATTCTGCACAAGATGCCAGATGGATCTTACAAACCAGTTGCTCACGTGTCAAGAGCACTTCTTCCTGCAGAGAAAAACTACTCCCAAATTGAGAAAGAGTCATTAGGGATTATTTTCACAGTAACAAAGTTTCACCAGTACATTTACGGTAGACACTTTACATTGTAGACAGACCATAAAGGTCCACAGTTTACTCACAAGAGACATTTGAACCACATCACAAAACATCTGTCAGATGATGCCAACAGCAGTTCTCCTGAAGAAAAAGGAGTAATGGATGTCATTTACAATACTTTTGACATGCCAATACCTCAAGCAGCCCCAGAGCAATGCCATTTATAGTGGAAAAGGAAAATGATTGATTTAAACATCGTTAACCCAAAGAAAAAAGATATTGAGACTCCTGCAGTGTTAATACTTAGGAGGTGGGGTGTTATGGTAATTTACCCATGCTTGCATGGACTCTCCTGGATATAAATAAGAGAAGTACTGCCTTTTAGAAAAGGGTAGTTTCCAGCAGTCAGCTCTGATAGTCGGACCGAATATTATTGCTGTAACACTCTCGTTTGTATTACTGTTTTTCTGTTAATATATTTGTTTAACCAAATTCCTCTCTTGTGTCTTTATTTCTGGGCCCAACAGTTTGTAAATCTTAACAAAAAATGTTAGAAATAACTTCAACAATACTAAATACTGTGAGGATATCAACATGCATCAGCCTGTTGCAAAAACTTCTAGTATTATAAACTTGTCATTCATTGCATATCAAGTTACATTAGAAAATTCCCTGATAATTCCAATTTTCTTTATAAAAAAAGTAAGTATTTTTCAATTCCTTAATAAATCCCTGTTTTTGAGGTTGGCTATCAATCTAACAGAAATCATGGAATAGATTGGGTGAAATAGCAAAAGCAACATGAAAAATAAATTCAGTAGTTGAAACAACTTTTAAGTCACTTAGTACAGTGTGTTAAAATCCATCAAAATTGAAAAAATATGAAAGATTTTAAAATTTACCAGCTACATATAAAAACAAAAGTTAGTCTACTTTGTAAAAGTGAAAGCTTTATATATCTGCTTTGACACAAAGTCAATTTAAAGTGAAAGCTTTGTCTCAACACAAGGTCAGTTTAAAAAATGAAAGCTTTATCTACCTCAACACAAGGTCAATTTAAAGTTTTAGATTTATTTCTGCTTGATATAGGTGTTGGAAATTAAAATTAAAATAATAAAATAAACAGTTTGTTATATTTTCGTATGTAAACTTATTTTATAGATACACTATATCTTATTTTAAAATTAAAATATAATGTATACAAGTGTCAAAATTTTAGCAGACGTATTGTTTGCTAGTTTAATGACTTTTTATTGAAAACGTTTTTATAGTCTGATTTTGTGTTGATTTTTTTGTCTACTAGCAGGAAAAGGAAAGAAAAGGTAACTGATCTGTTTATTTTGCTCATATCGAGTCTTCTTGTGCATATGTAAATTGACTCATTTGAGTTTAGCCATGCCTTGGAGATGCTCATAAAAGAGTGAGTTCACGCCTTTTGGGAAGTTTTTTTTTTATATTGGCCAACAGACCGGAGTGCCTTTAGGCAGAAGGGAGAATGACATTATCTTCCCCTCATTCCTCAACTCAAGAAGGTTCTGACACTAGCAGGAGTGATCATTTCCATGATAACAAAAACACAGAACAGAGCGAAAGATCTCATCATTAAGAATGCAGTTTTGTAAGGCAAGATTTTATAGGGTTAACTTAAATTTAAATTTAAAATCCATTATTAAGACCCTTCGTTACTGTATGAAAATTTGTTTTATTAGTTAAAAGCAGGTCTCCTTGGAGAATTTAAATCATCAGATTTAAAACAGGACCCCTAGCTATCGAAAATCTGCTCCGAATCATAAAATAAAAAATGCAATAAAACTATGACATTATTTAATTAGAAAAGCTTTTAATTGCTTTTATAATTAAGATTTGTTAAGGACACTATTGTCTCAAAAAAATATTTTTTGATGAATAATGAATTTTTAGAATTGTTTTCAATTTTTTAAATTTTAATTATAATAATTTAAATCATTTAAAATTCTGCATTACTTCAATCCATTTAGGTGATATTGTTATTCAGTAAAAACTATATTTACAAATCAAAAATTTACAAGCTTAATAAAAGTCATTTATCCCTAATATTTTTAAATTTTTAATTTTTTTTTTTTTAGTATAGAAACATTCCCATTTTTGTAAGTATGGATGTCCATCACATATTTTAAGAGTTGTCCTCCCTAAAAATTTGGCCGTCTGCAATTCTTTCATTTTCATTTCTGTGTCTAATCATATTTACGTCTCAACAGACTTTGCAAATCATCCTTTCAAAATTTTAAACTTTAAAGTAATTTTTATTTCACAAAATATTTTTATTTTATGTACTTATTTTAGTGTGATTCATACTTTAATTTAGTATTTTTTTTAGTTTGATTTAAAGAAAGAACCTAGAGACAAAACCCAACATAATTCTACTAAAAAAATAATTTTTACTTTAACTTAAATTATTTTTTTTTATTCAATTTCTATTTGAAGTTTTTATTTTTTTTAATTTGCATGTCATTTTGAAATTTCCTTTCAAGTTATTTCAACTTTAACTCCTAAAAATATTTTTATCTTGTTAGTAGTTTTTTTTACTTTTTACATTTTTTTAAGTTTCTTTTTTGTGAGAGTTATTTTGATAAAAACATAAGGCTATAAATAAATATATAAGTTTAAGTAACTAAAATTCAATAAAATATTAGATAATTGCTGAAAATATGTTAATTTTAAAAAATTACTAGGTAGTTAAAAACCAAAAACAAAGCTTTCACTTAGATTTCATAATTTATGTCAATTTCTGGTCAACAATATTTAGCTATCAACACCTTAGGCTGCCAATAACATCAATCAGCATATCAGAAAAACATGACTCCTGTAGTTAAGAAATGCTTGTATAGTATGTTTTATGCTATAAGTAAGTAATATTTGTTTCAAATCAGATTAATTTAACTTTAAATTTGCTAATTTTCCTCAAATATGTCACAAATATATATTTTATTTTTGGAACATTTTTAAAACTGAAAATTAACTTTTGTTTACAAATCTATCAAAATGGCAGATATTTATCAATTTTCACAAAGCAATTAAAAAATTGAGACTCCAATCAATATAACTTCTATTTGAAATACACTAGAGTATTTTTCTTATTGGAAATAGTAAATTTAATTATTTAGCTTTCAATTAAAGCTAAAAAGAAAGCTTCAAGAATTCTTTTACATTTTTCAAAATTAATTTTAAACCTTAGGTATCAAAGATTTAGTGGAGGTCCCTAAATTAAACCCATTATTAGTGCAATTTATGTATTATTCTTTTTTTGTCTACATATAACTGTGGTTTTTATTGTATGTTTCTCTTTCTCATTTCTATAAACATCAAGCATTTGTCATTTGTTTCCTTCACTGTCTTGTTTACATTGTTAACTTTCATATTGGATTTATTGTCATGTGTTCCCGAATGGAAGAAATTTCTCAATAATACACTACCAAGTTGCCGGCCCCTTTTTTGCCGTTTCTAGTATTATGATTCCATAAACTTTCATAATCTCAGGCGTTAACTTAGAATTTATTTGTTTGATATTTATCCTTTAGAAAGTCTATAAAAGCATAAAAGTTACAATCATAACCTATATTGATAAATATAACCTCAAATTACCTATATTGGTAAATAAGACTAAAATACTTACACTTCCAGCAAGTCGAGAAAACATACTATTCTGATCCTCTGCTGAGCTCATTTTCTCACGCTGTACCTGAAAATATATTCATTTTGACTGACACATGAATTTTTTTTAACTGTAATGCATGGGAGAATATTATATAAGAATTCTAGACTAATGGTGGGTAAATGAATGACAAAAATTAAATAAAAACCCAATGTAACAAGTTTCACCATTCAAAAGGACTTTTTCAGACTAAATGCTTTATTGATGAAATCATATATATATATATATATATATATATATATATATATTATGAAATGGACAAAGTCCAACAATTATTTTAAGACATTTTTATGTTTATACATTTTTTTTTATAGATACAAATATTTAAGTAAATGCTCTGTTTATAATAAACAGTATTAAACAACATTTACCGACCTGAATGACCGAGAAATTTTCATAAAAAATATTCGTCCTCTGACAGGATTCGAACCTGTATCCTAATACAGAACCATCGTATAGCCTGACGTGCCTTTAACCAATTTGGCCACAGAGGAGCATTACTGTCTTTGAAAATTTCTCGGACATTCAGGCCGGTAAATGTTGTTTAATACTGTTTATTATAAACAGAGCATTTACTTAAATATTTGTATCTATAAAAGGAATGCATAAACATAAAAATATCTTAAGATATATATATATGCAGGAGAATGGAACAGAAATATAAACAAATGTTGATTATAATTAAATAATGAGAGAAACACTAAAGACGAATGGATACTTAACTCTGAATTTTAAATATCTCTGGTTTCTGTAGCAATTTTTTTCATTTTTTTTAAAGGGTAGAGTTGCTCACCCCATCTCTACTCAATTTTAAATTCAAAGTTTTTCTTCTCCTAGACTGGTTGATAACCAAGGCTAGCAAGCCTATTCTACTACATAATATATTTTTTGCAGCATATAAAATGCACTTTCTTACCTTCAAATTTAATGCCAAAAACTGCTTGTGTCCTTATACACCAAAGTTATATAGTGGACAAAGGAGTGTTGGATGGCCATAGCTCAGGTATAAAGACAACCTAAAGAGTAACCTCTCAGCTGTCAATGGGTCTCATACTAACTTTGAGTGAGTTGCCCTGTATAGGGTTAACTAAAGATACTTGTGCCAGAGTGGTATCATAAATTTTGATATCAGTTGTATCGACCAACTAAGAGACAAAAGACAACAGTGAAAAGCATCAGCAAATGTTCGTGTTGCTATGTCCCAAGATCCTCACTGTCGCACAATATGTTAAATGCAGGTCATTAGTAGAATTGAAGTGTCGCATACAACACAAACATAAAAACTGAATGAGGTTGTTGGATGCATCAAAATCGATAGGAGCATGAATTACATTTATATATATATATGAGAGAGAGAGAGAGAGAAAGTGAGAAAAGGTAAAAAATCCATTGGTATATAATCCAAAATGGATCCTAGTAATATAAAATATTAAAACTGATCCACAGAAAAGAGCTTGATATATTTATTAATACAGAGGAATATAATAATGCTATTCCCTATATGAGGTAATTTTGGATTTTATAATTTATTACTATATATATATATATATATATATATATTGTCATCCACAGACAGACTGTTTTGCTGTTTCACAGCTCATCATTGTGTCTAGACATCTGATTGCTTCAAGTCTCTGACTGATTTGGTATCAGTTAGAGATTCTACCCCTAAGCCATTGACACACAGCAGGGATGAAGATGAATTTAGACATATTTCTTTTTAGATAAACATGCCAGTGACTGGAGAACTCAATTCAACTTAATGAAAAATTTTGAATCAGCAGCAGTAATAGTCACTGTTTACAAATTCACTTTTCTCCCTGAAGAAAAAAAATATATATATATATATATATATATATATATATATATATATATATATATATATATATATAGGAATGATTTAGTTCAATATGTTATTTATAACAATGGGATGGATTTAAAATGTGAAATGCACATCATCAAAGTACTTAATACAGTTAACATCAGTAATTGCTGGAAGAGAGTTCCACAAGCAAGAAGTGCAATACAAGAAACTGTTAGCATAGAACTTACGGTTACATCTAGCCATTTCAAGTGTAAGACAATATTTGGCAAAGTGCCAAATTTTACAAGTGTAATCATTTATTAAATTACTCGGCAAATTTTCCTAATAATTAGCAGTGGTTTCATAAATCTTTGAAGGACAAAAACAGAATGTCAGTAAAAAAGAAAAATATTATAGTTGGTCTATTGTCATAAAAGATAGGAATTTTCTATCCATGCAGATGTTGCAATAATTTTATTGGAGTGATCAAATACTTACAAAGCAAGCCAATCACACCTGCACTTACAAAACAAGTCAATTAAAATTTCACAAGTGACAGTGACCATTCCCAAACTTGTTTTCTTTGCTTGCAGATAACTTACCAATTTCTTTAAGTCATATTTGTCATCATCATCAAAATATTGCAGACGTTCTCCAGTATTCCCATGTGTTTTGATCTGTAATTTTAAATATGAAAACATTACATACACATTAAATTATTACTTTCAGTCATAAATATGTTACTTCAATTTCTACAGTAAGAATAGAAAAAAGAAGACATAAGGAAACCCAATTAAATGAACAACTCTCTTGGGGGATATTCATTAATGTAGAAAGATCTAGAAGAGTGGTCATTCAAGACAACTTTCATTTCACGATTTGATGAGAAAAATTGAATCAAATCAAAATGATTAACTGATGTCCCTTATCAGTTTTCTTTGAAAATTACAAGATGGTATAAGATTTACAAGTCAGATATATTATAGTCACATTATAAGAATGGTGAAATGAATCTGGTATCAAGAATAAGGGATCAACTAAAGTTTAATATAACTAAGAAATATCAAATTGATACAACACACCCAAAGTGCAGTATACAAAGAATTAATTTGTATCACCAAAAATATAAAACAATACTTGAAGTGTAAAAACAGACAATGTGAACATATGACACTTTTCAACAAGAGACAAATGGTCAGGATTTGGATTTGACAAGAAAAGCAACATAAGAATTCAAGATATTGACCATAATCAAGGGAGATAAATCTAGAATTTATGTCAAAATATTGACTGATTAGGTTTTTTATGGTTTATCAAACTTTTGCAGGTTAAAGCCAAAAAATATTTTTAGGTTCTAAGAATTCTTTGGAGGTAATAATGATTTGCAGATACAAGTCCTAATTAACCCATAGCAGAGGGGATTCCTACTTTTCACAAGGATATTTGAACATAAGTGAATATAACAAACCTGAATGGAATTGGAACTCAGTTCTCCAATTTCAAGCTGTTATCCATTAACATACAAGCTTACAACACCTGATATTCACCCTGATTGTACTGATCAGGCTAAACATTGCTTAACTTTTTGTGATCATATGGGAACCAATGTTTCAACATAATATGGCCATAAGATGTAAAAATATTGAAAGATGACATTAAAAAAAACAAATGGCCATAAGACATCCAAGTTGAAAAGAAGATTTTTAAATAATCAGTGGTTTTTATTTATCTGACATGTTTATTACTATAGACATTATTTATAGTGGATACACAGTTTCTCCTCTACCCTAACTCAAACAGTGAGACTAATATCTACCGGCCTACAGATTTAAAGTCTTATTAAAAAAAAAATTTTTTTTTAAAAAAATCAATATTTTACCTCAGTATTACAGTAAATGAAAGTTTTTTTGATTTTATTAAAAAAAAAAAGGAGCATTGTCAATAGGTATATTTTCTTTAATAAGACTTGAGGCATTTAAGCTGGTAGATACCAAAAAAAAAAAAGGCTATCAACAAAATATTTACATTATTTCGACTATTGTCATCTTTGTTACCATATTTATCACAATGTTTCGGACGTTGTACGCTCTGGCCTTCTTCAGGTGGTTGGAATGTCAAATTGAACCCTTTATTTCGCTTGCTGGGGTAGACTGTTCTAGTTCCACGTGCCATGTCTAATGGATGTCAGTTATCTCCTATTAATTCACCTCTCAAAGTTCTCCACTGCCTTAACCAGGTATTGAACTCAATACTATGGAACTAGAACAGTCTACCCCAGCAAGTGCAATAAAGGGTTCAGTTCGACATTCCAACCACCTGAAGAAGGCCAGAGCGTACAATGGCCGAAACATAATAAATATGACAACAAAGATGAGGACAATAGTTCGAATAATGTAAATAGAATACATAATACATCATCTCAGAAATATAGACAGATACCCAACAAAATAATGTTTATAGTAATAAGGAAGATTTTACACGCATAACATTTTTGCATATACAGAATGTAATAGAAATACTCCCCACATTTCAAACTTTAAAATTAAAATGTGGAAGGTATCACCCAACCATGTTCTTAAACAACTTTTAGTATATTTCATTTTCGAAAAAAGTTGTTTACAAGCATACATCCAAATAATGATATCATTTTCACATTATTCAATTGGCTTTTAGATTTTCTACTTGACAAAACATATTTCTTATAGAAGTCATCAAAAATTTGTCGCATTGTAAGTTGAACTCCAACTGATATTTTTTTGCCACTTGCTTCACAAATTAATTAGTGTTCAGGTGTGGTGCATGGGCCAGGGGTTACTGACCCATTTTAATGATTGTAGATTTTATGATATCTCATATAAACATATAACCTATATTTGCCCAAAATTTGATTATTCTAGAACCTTAGTTTCATAATTATCATCATTTAATTGATTTGCATATAATAATGGAACACAGTATATAGATATCACAAATAAATAACACTTTTTCCTATGATCAAAGATTGAATGAGCTTACGTTTTTCTTTCTCTGTTTTCCTTGAGGCATTCTTTCTTCTTTATCAAGTAATGGCCATGCCATTCCATTACGATCTATATGAGTGAGCAGAACTTCTTGTTGATCTTTTGATGCTTGTTTTATTTTAGCAGTAGAAGAGTCAGCCTTAGCCTTCTGGGCAGCCTTCATTTTGTTTTGAAGACTTTCAACAAGTTCCTAAAGAGAAAAAAAAACAAAAAAACAAAACAAATTACTCATTTTTTTTTAAATTATTTTTTCAATATAAAAAAACAGTTTGGTTTATATAAAGGGTGTTCCAATAACTTGGACAGATTTCAAATGTGAATTAAGTTTAAGTGTCCAATGATTTTTTTCTTTTTCTTTCAGATTTAACAACTTAAGTCTTTGGCAATTTCAACCATGGAAAGATTAACAAATCAAACAACATGTTAAAGTTAGCAAAGCCTATTATGAAAATGGATGGTCAAACAGAAATGCAATGAGGAGTTCCCAGGTCGTATCATCTCTCAAAACAGTCAAGTCAATTGTCCACTATGATCATGTGACTTGACACCTTTAGATTTCTTCCTTTGGGGTCATCTCAAAAGTGAGGTCTATACCAACAAGCTGACAACAATTCAACAACTGAAGGATGAGATAATAAGGCATATTGGCGAGACTGAGGAGCAACTATGCAAAGATGTCATCAAAAATTTTAACCATCGAGTGGAGGTGTGCTGCTGAAGCATTGGCGGACATTTGGGCGATATTATTTTTCACACATAATTGTCATGACTTAAATAACATGATCCAATAGAGAAATAAATAAATTTTCACCAATAACACTGATTTATTTACTGCTGAGAATCAAATTTTTGATTAATGCAGAGGGGGGGTGCAAACCATTCCCATTCCCTTCCATGTTCCTTTGATAAAAGGCAAGTTCTACACATACAGCTTCTTTTCCCCTGGGACTGTTACTTTGCAGAACAAACCCCCAAGAGAATGCTTCCCTGATAACTATAATCTTGGTCTGTTTAAGTTCAAGGTCAACTGATATCTATCCTACTTGTCCTCATAATACACTTACTTCCCCTTTCCATCACAATCTCCCTCAGTAACCCTCTACCTTCAGTGGCTCTTGCATTGGATGAAATATCAGTTAAAAAAAAAAAAAAAAATTATCTTAAAATAGAATTTGACAGTTTTAATTCAAAATTAACCATGAATTTGTATGGCTTCATTTGTGCAAAGAAATTTCTTTTTTCAAATTTTCTAAAATATTTTCAATAAAAAAAAAATTATAAAAATAAAATGAAGTGTCTGTTTGTCCACTATAGATTCAGAAAACTACTTGATGAATTTCAAGCAAACTTGGTGTGCAGTTAAGCTATAATCCAGAGAGTGCCATAGGCTTTGCAAAGTTGATCTGAAGGTCATGAAAAATTTTTAAAAAATAGTCAAAGATGTCATTTTTTCATGAAAGTTAAATATTTATTACCGCTTTTGGTAGTAAATACATGTGTGGTTACTTCCCGTAGTCATTTTAATCATTGTCGCAAGTAAAATCTATTTGCCTTTCTATTTAGGTAAAATTAGTTCCTGACCAACAACAGGTAACTCTGCTAGTAGTAAATAAAATGATTGTTTTTTTTTTGTTTTTGCAAAAACAAAATAGAAACATTTGAAATGTTTATATAAGCAGTGATTTATTAAACACTCTATATCAAAAATTTCTGGGTCTTAAATTTTTCAAATTTTTTTTAGCTAAACTATTTTCATTATTAAGTTTTGACTTATTTTTTATTTTTGTTAAACTAGCCAAAAAACAAAAAGTAAAGTATGTTATTATAAAAGTTGTCTTATCTCTAACATTTCTGTATAAATAACATTTTCAGCAGGATGTCTATGTTCTAAATTTTTTTTTTTGTCATTATACTAAGTCCACTTATATTTCCTACTCTGGACACAGCTACTTAGAACTGACCATGAGAGAAATATCTGAATAATTTTCTGTTTATATTAATAATAATAAACAAAATTATTTATGCAGACTCACTATTTGTTTTTGTTTTTTTTTGTTTGTTTTTTTTACTTGTTTAAATAATTTAGGAGAGTTTGAAGAAAATTTAATTTAACAGATTATTTTGACTTTGATAATTCCATAGAATTTTTTTGGCGCTCTTTTCCCTTAATTTGTAGTAATATGAAATATCAGATGACAACAATGCTTATTATTATGAATACTGTAGCTTTTGTATCTTACAAATAAATTTTGACAAAGCAGATATAAATTCTTTCTATACAAATATAATGAATTAAAAAAAAAACTTTAATGGCAGAAAAATTGATAATATATGGTAATTTTTAAAATTTGAATTAAAAATAAAGAATTATTTATTAAAAATATGTCTATCATTTACAAGATTTTATTTTAACACATTTATGTATATAATTATTTTTACTAGAAAAATACCCACCATAGAAGTTCTCTGACATCTCTAAAATTTCTGTATAAACAACATTTCAGCAAGACATCTATTTCTGAAGTTCCTTTTGTCATTATATTAAGTTCACTTGAATTTTCTATTCTGGACAGAACTATATAGAGCTAACCATGAGAGCTTTCTAATGTCTATATTAATTATAATAAAAATTAATATAACAATATTTTTTTTATGTGTTTAAATAATTTTCTACAGTTTCAAGAAAATCTAATTAAACACATTTTAAATTTAGATAATTCTGTAAAAATATTTTTTGTTCTAGTCAACTAATTTGTAGTAATGTGAAATGGCAGATAAAAACAATGGTTATTATGAGCACTGCAAGAAATCAGATTATTAACATTGCTGCGCATGGAACAGATTACTAACATTACTGGGCCTGGAACTTGAATTCTATAAAAATATTAAAATAAACTAATTAATTTTAAAAGCAAAAGTATTTACTGTATGTCTGTTTTTTTTTAAAATAAATTATTTTTAATTTTTACATTTATTTTACATTTCATTTAAATTTAAACACTTCAGTGATATAAACACATATGAACAAAGACGAATGCAGAGTGGAGAAAGAAAAAAGACATTGATAATTCTTCATTTATATAAGGTATTTGTAGATTTTAAGTGATACACATAATCACTGACATTATTATAAAAATGTAATAGTCAAATTTCTATCTGTCATTTTCTTTCACATATACAAGTTGGTGACACACAGACAAAATTTAACCTTATGTAAATTTATAAAAAGTGATTATTATAAAAATGTAATAGTCAATCAAATTTCTATATCTGTCTCTTTCTTCTACTCTCTTTTTAACAAATGAAAAGGATGATAAGTGTAGATCAGGGGTCATCAAACTTTTTTGTTTGTCTTTCTTTCCCCAGCGACACCCATTTAAAATATCTTTGAACCTTAAAACTTGTACTGATGTTGGCAATTAAATGTTATGTATGAAAAGTTAAAAAATTTGAATCAGATTCAAAATTTTTCACCCAGTGTCATCAGGTTCAGAATTTACCCCCTACAAAAAATTTAAGAAAATATATTAAATAAATCCACTGAATCAAACAAATAATACAGTAAATACACCAAAGGATAGAAAAAATACACCAAGCCTAAATGCAGTAAATACACCAAATAAATATGTCAAGCCTAAATACAGTAAATACACCAAAGGATAAAAAAAATACACCAAATAAATATGTCAAGCCTAAATACAGTAAATACACCAAAGGATAGAAAAAATACACCAAGCCTAAATGCAGTAAATACACCAAATAAATATGTCAAGCCTAAATACAGTAAATACACCAAAGGATAGAAAAATACACCAAATAAATACACCAAGTCTAAATACAGCCACTGTTACTGAACGGAAAGACATAAATACTACTAATATCCAATTAATAAGGTATTGAATGCAAAGATGGTTAAAACTGAGAGTGAATGTCTCAAATACAAAGAACCTCTGAAATTAGTGCCCTATAAAACACACAAAGATGGGTATATTTGGAGATGTATGAAAAGAGCATGTGCTTCATATAAAAAATATAGCAATATCAGAACAGAATTTTTTTCAAGGGATTTGACACTTCTTTAAAAGTCAATATACAGCATAAAGATGTCTTGGATAAAAAAAAAAAAAAAAAAAACATACAATAGTCAATATATTAAACCATTTCAAGAATACCAAAGACAGATTTTAGCAGAGATAAATTGGGTGGGTCTGGTATCGTTGTGCAAGTTGTTCACACACCAACCATCATTTGAGCCCTTGACTATCATCAACCTCTTAGAACTCTTCCACAACCCATGGGATAGAGGGAGGGGCTTGGACCCAGTTTGACGACCCCTGGTGTACATGTATAAAATAATATATAAATACTGAAAGAAAACAAATCTTTTTTCTTACATCATCACCCATCAATTCTGCTCTAAGAATTTTTGCTGACAAATCATTCATTTGGTCTTCTGTCAGAATGACCGGAGATGGGGGTCGTTCCTCCTCCTCTTCCTCCTCCTCTCTTATTTCGGGGCTATCACTTTCTGAGGAAGAACTGCTACTGTTTGAATCTAAATAAAAGAAATTGTGTTATTTAAAAAAAAAATATACATAAACATTTTCTCTAGACATTCTAATGTAAAAGGACTTATAGCCATATCACGCTGAAACTGCTTGAGATGTCAATGTCTCAAAATAAATATTGTTTAAAATTTATTATGTTTATTGGAGACAAGCACTCTATCAAAAATACAGTGTTTGGACATAGAAATCAACAAGATTGCTTGAGGTATGATTCTAATAGTCACCATGCAATATTGATTCTTGTGTTCAAACTGTATAGACTTATGGCTATATCATACGATCACTCAAGTTAAGCAACATCAGGCCTGGTCAGTACCTAAATAGATGACTGCTTTGGGAGATCACATGCTGTAATGGATAATGGCTTAGAATTGGAAATTGGAAAGCTAAGTTCTAATTCCAGTTGGCTTTGTTATATTTACTTAAGCTTATGACCATATCACATTGAAACACCATTTCTCATATGACCATCAAAGTTAAGCAACATCAGGCCTGGTCAGTACTTTGATGAGTGACTGCTTTCGGAGACCAGGTCCTGTAAGCTTGGATGTGTGGGTGGTGTAATGGATAATGGCTCAGAATTGGAAATCAGAGTGCCGAGTTCTTATTCCAGTTGGGTTCAGTATATTTACTTAAGCACAAATACTCTTGGGAAAGGTATGAATCTACCTCTTCTCCTCCAACTATGAGTTAATTAATAGAACTTGTATCAGTAAATCATTATTACCTCCCAAAAATTCTTACAATCTAAAATATTTGCTGGCTTTAAATAACCTGCAAAAGGATGATAAGCCATAAAAATCAAAGTAGAGGTTTACTGTGTTGCGTTATATAAGCATAAGGCAAGAAGTGCAGTTCATGAGGTTATGCTGAAAAGATAATGGTTAACCCTCAATCTTGAAGAGGTCAAGTTTAAAGGTGAAATGGGGAGCCTTATTGGCCATCAAATTTGTAGAAAGAAAAACAAAATATTTCAAACAATAAGAAAATCTTTTCACCTGAAGTTTTCTTTGTTGTATTTTTCCAATTCTTTTCTTCATCCATTGAATGTGCCACTCTAAGTTTTTCTGCTTGCTCCTCGGATGAAGCAGTTTTCTTCTTCCAAGTTGGAACATAGGCTCTCCCAGATTCTCTATTTGAATGTCGGCCATATTTGTCTCTGTTTAACCCCGAATTGTCTCTCTGACCGGTATCATAATTGGATCTTGAATGAGAATGCCTTGATTCTGATGGCAAAACATTGGAGTCATCAGTTCTTCTCTCCACCGGTGGTGGAGAATCAGAAGGTCGTTTAAACATTCGTTGGTAATCAGATTTGGTTTGGTAAGACTTTGAAGGATCCAAGAAATACTTAGACCTCCGATTCCTGTCCTCAGAATATCGAAAATCTGATGAAGACTGACGCCATGACTTAGTCGGATGATAAGTTGAACTGTCTCGGTCATATGACTGACCTCGTTTTTCATTTTCAATTTTTTCCGCTTTCTTTATCAATGATTGTAATTTCTTCAAAGACTGGAAAAAGGAAAATTTAGTTCTTAATGTTCAAAGATAAAAAAAAATGTTCAGATGAATGAGCTGAAAAATCTAAATAGGGTGGCTTTTAAGCTAGTTATACATATTTTCAGTATAAACTTTAAGAGTTTTTTTGTTTTTTTTAAATAAAAAGGCATATGAATTTAACATGCATCGAGACCTTGTTACACAATAACCTAATCATTTCCTCTTGAACATTCATATGTTGTCAATATGATTGTTAAAACACTTTTTGATTTGTTCAAGCCATCTTGGATAATTTTCCCAGTGATAGATATTTGCAGTTGAACAGTCATATTATGATTAAACATTATCTTCAGATTTCATCATGCAACATGTGTAAAAATTCTGTGAGAATATCTAACATAGAAGAGATGTATCGATTTGGTACATCTTGTATCATTTAAAAAATTCAACATGATAGTAAATAAAGCTACTATATTATTAAAGCTAGGTTGAGTCATAAATAATTTCTTTGTTTCATTGACATTATTCTTCAAAAAATAAAGTACAATTATATTTCATTCAATTATATAGTCACCATTATTTGCAATGTTACCAATTATCAGGCATCACTTTGATACCTTTTCAGGAAAAATTCCGCAGGTTTTGATGCGAAAAATTTTGACAAACTCTTGAATCTTGTTTTTACTAGAGAAATTTTTTCCCATCAAAGTGTTTTCTAGCAACTGAAAAAAAAGGCCATAATCAATTGGTGCAAAGTCAGGTAGAAATGACAAACAGTTCCCAAATTTTTTCTGATTTGTTCTTGCTACATGTGGTTATCATGAAGAGAACAACATTATTTCTAATGACAAGTACAGGGTTCATTTCAAATCTTTATGGACATGTTGTAGCTGCTGAACGAATAAATGTGCATTTAATATTTCATTGCATTTTAAAAACTCTAAATGAATAATACCCCGATGATCCCACCACATGCACAACATTACCTTTCTTCTATGGACCTTGGATTTGGGGTCAGTTATAAAGACTTATCCTTGTCAATCGAATGACTTTTGCATGGAAAAGTGTCCTATGTCAGTGCACTCCAAGTTTATTCTTAACTGCTGTGTGTGATTAGTAGTTATAAGAGTTGTTTCCATTCCCAAAAATTAAAATTACTTATGACTCCACCTAATAAATCACTTACTCCCCAACGTTCTGCAGCCACCTCCTCCATAGTACGGCCTGTCTCTTTAACTTCTTCTTCACATCTCCTGTAAGCTCTTCTTAGCCAGGAAATGTGAGGCAAAGATGATGACTCTTTTTCTTTCTTCTCTTCCTGTGGCAGTCCAACTCCACCATCTTTCCAGTAAGGATTCAATTCTCGATGATGCTGACCTGGCTAAAGAGATATATGCAGAAAGTAAACATTTAAACTGAAAAGAAAAAGAGCAAATGTTGAATAGAGCCTTTCCTTTAACAACTCCAAGTTCCAGGTTTGTACATTTAAAAAAAAAAAAAGAAAAAAAAAAAGAGAGAAACTGATTCAGTTGATTATGTTTAAAATTTACAATATTTATAGATTTGTTTGTTTAGTGGCATATCAACTCTTCATGGGTCATTTAATGCCAAAATTTAATTTTCTTGGGGGCATTAGTAATTTCTTTTACAAAAGAAATGTATTACTGGTATTTTTTTTTATTTTAAACATAATCAATTGAGTCAGTTTCTCTTCTTTTTTTTTTCTTACAAAACTGTATTGCTGCTAATTTGTTTTATTTACAAAAATATACTGTTCGTAATTATTTTTATTTATTTATTATTTTTTAAACAAAAATGCATTGATAATATTTTTTTTCTTACAAAAATGGATTGTGTGTAATTTTTGTTTTTTTACTATGAAAACATAAGTGGAAAAATCAGGCATGGCTGACCACAGATGGAGAGAGAAGGGAGATCACCGCCCTCTGTGGGATCAGGTTGAGATCATTAACAAAGAACACCATTGGAAAATTTGTAAACTTAAGGAATCAGCACATATGCTAGGCCACAAAAATCTCCTGAGCTGACCAAGCATAGAAATGAATATAATATGGGAACCAGTAATAAAGAGTGCCAGAGAAAAGCGATAATAACAAAAATTGCAATATGAGCTCTGGTAAAACATGCAATGATAACAGCAAAAATTGCAATATGAGCACTGGTAAAAAAGATTGCTGAAGACATTAGGTTTATAATACCCAGAAATTCATACACAGATGTCCTCAAGGACACATGGCACAGTGGATAAAAGCGTTAATTAGATCCAAAGACTGTGAGTTCAATACCTGGCTAAGGCAGTGAGAAATTAACAAGAGATAACTAATAACTGACATCCATTAAATATGGCACATGAAACAGTCTACTCCAGTGATCAAAATAAAGGATTCAGTTCAACATTCCAACCACCTGAAGAAGGCTGAAACATACAACGGCCGAAATGTTGTAATAAATATGGCTACAAAGATGAGGACAATAGTCTAAATAATGAAAATGTATTGCTGGTATTTTTATTATAAAATTTTTTATACTTTCATAGTGTTTTAACCCCAGTTTGGGGGTTTAACTATTTGGCCATAGCTGGGATCCTAACAGGTGCAACCATTCCAGGCCTGGGTAGACCTGGGAACAGCAGCAGCTAAGAGGTTGTTCCATGCTCTTCAAAACCTCCCAATCAGAGGTCTTGCTGCCAGATGTAGTTTACCTAGGACAGACCATAGATAGAGTGTTATAGATATAAACTTTGTCTGAACATTGCAATGAAGAATGAAACTAAAAGTCATCATGAAGTGTTGATAGGTGACTGTCAGTTGCACAGCTCAATTTAAATAGAAATAAAAGGAAAAGAACAGAAGTATTTAAGCCATTCATTCAGTTAACCCCACTATTTTTAAGTGCAAAAAAAGAAACTGAACCAATTGATTTTATATATATATATATATATATATATATATATATATATATATATATATGGTTTGATGTTATGCTAGATTTATGGGCACATGGGGCTGCATGGACATTCTGACCATGAGACCCAGGTTAAATTCTCACCATAGTCGATTTGTCAAGAAGGTGACCATTTGATGTTATCGGTCTGTGGGAGGCAATTCCAGCATGTGACACCTTTGGAAAGTGCCTGAAAAACCACACCACAGAGCCAATTTTATATATATATATATATATATATATATATATATACACAAAATTCTGTTTATTTTAAATACCAAATATTTTTAAATGAAAAACTGTAATCCCAGTATGATATATAACTACACCAACATTGCAATAACCAGTTATATTTTTAAAATATTTATTAGCTGTTGTATTACATCTAGAACTGTTTTATTAGCACTAACACAATATGTGCAATATATTAGAATTAGATCTCAAACGTTATTTTGAGTAGATACTAATATTTGAGTAGATACGCAGTTTGTTTTTATTTTTAAACAGTATATTTTTATTGTCTACCAGCCTGAATATTTGAGAAACCTAATTAAAGAAAAATATACAGCCTCCAGCAGGATTTGAACTTGCATCCTCCATGATATGAGAAATTGTTGTTAGATCTGATGTGCTTATATGGACTCAGCGTCAAAGGACATCACCAATGAAGCAAGGCTGAATAGGGCCTCTAACCAAAATCTTTCTCATCACAGATTCACAAAATTTCAAATAAACAAAGCAATTTATAAAGTAAGGGATTTTTTACTTATTAATCCAACAGATTTTTATCACTTATGTGTTATTTTTAGTGTGTTTGAGTAGAGTTTTAATTTTTAGACAGTATAATTATTATCATCTACCAGCCTGAATATCCACTAAAATTAATGCTTAATTGATAAAAATATGCCGGATTAATAAATAAAAAATCCATTATGTCTTATTTTAGATTGTCACCATTTTGTCCACTTCCTGTTTAGTAATTACCAGATGTGCATTGTGATGTAATGGTATCGGCTCAGGGTGAGAACTTTGAGAGCCAAGTTTGAATCCCAATAGAATTTCTTAGAGTCACTTACATACAAATATCTTGGGAAAGGTATAAATCCATCTCTTCTCCCTCCCCCCAACTATGGGCCGAATAGCAGGACAGAATGGATTCTTTAGCCTTGGTTGGCAACCAGTCTTTCTACTGCAGAAAGAAATGGCAACCTACTGTAGAGAAAGAAATCTACTTTGTCAGTTATGTATCGAAAGATACATGATCGCTCAAGCATGTATTGCATGTGACAATATTCAGTCACCCCCCCACGAGGGCATCATGTGGCACAAGGCCTTTTTAACATGGGATCTCCGAGCCCGTAGCCAAAAATATGCCTATTGAACCCATATAAACGGGTTCAGAGTCGGTTTACCTCCCCGAAAGAGAATCCGCCCTTTGGCGTAGCCTCCTTCGAGTTCCTCCCCACCCGAAGGCAGAGAGTTCAAATGATCAGCCGGTCGATACTGTCTCGACTGACTTGTGTATTACATGCTACACTTAATTGAGTAAATTACTACAACTTGTATATTAAACCACACAGTCAAAAGCACATGGTTCCTACTTTCTTATCTTCTTAATTCTATCCAAACAATAGCATTGCCTGTACATAACATTAACTTTTTTTTTTTTTCTGCATTGGTATTCTGTTATTTGAACATTTGTTTAAGCTAGCCATTTTTATTTTTATTGCTGTACTTCTTTGTGTCAAACCGCTTTCACAACATGACTAATTTCATGTAACTTTCTTCCTTTCTTATTAATACAAACACATATTCCTGTAAGCAAACAAGTTGCTAACTCCTATACCCATTTAAACCCTTGACCTCCAATGACATTCAGCCTTCGACTCCTTTTTCATATTTCTTCTTTCTTTCCATTTTCATTTATTTTGTTATTTGGACTAAATCAGTCAAGTTTGTATTTATTTCTTTTTCTAGTTTCACTGTTGCAGTTTGTGTTCATTTGTGAGAAAATCAATTTCACTGTCTTTCTCGTTAGTTCTTTGATGTTCACTTTGGCAACAATAAATCTTTTCTTCTTTCTTCATGTCCTTTTCTTCATCCCTCTTCTTCATCTTCTTTCCTCCTCATCATCTTTTTTCTCACTGTCTTCTTTTTTCTTCTTTCCTCTTCTCTTCTTTCCTCTTCTCTTTTCTTCTTCATTCCTCATCTCTTTTTCTTTCCTTCTCCTTCTCCTCCTCTCCTTCCTCCTACTCCTCTTCTTTTCTCTTCCTCCTCCTCTTCTTCTTTCCTCCGTTTTCTCATCATCTTTTTCTTCTTTCCTCCTCCACTTTACCTTTCCTCGTCATCTTCTTTCCCCTTCTTCTCGACCTCTTACCATTTATCCACTGCAGAAAACCCACACCCAACTATGGACAATCGCAGGATCTAAAAAAATTCCCCCTTACTCTCTTGGTTATTTGATTGTATATTCTTTTCAACAGCTGGAAATTTACATGTTACCAGCAAAATCTCATATTTGTGAGAATGAAACTGTTATAGTGGAACACACCTATTCTATAGTTAATAGACTCACCCACCTATAATAAGTAGGAGTAGTAAGAGTAACGAGTGAGTCATTCAGGGGTTGGTCAGTCAGTCGATGCTGGACAACCTTTAGTCGGATACTAAAGTATCAGTGACCACAACTAGATTTCTCTGCGTCATTACCTATTATATCAAGTTCCTAACGTTTTGTACGTTGAACCTATTTTAGGATCAACTTAGTACAAATACAAGCCTCCACTGTGAAACCACTCCATAACAGAAACATTCTTAAATATTCACCTTATGAGCAGCCATGTTCTTTTTTTTTATTTGAATTTCTTTACATTCAATGTAAAGTCTTAGTTTCAGCAGTAAGTCATTTTTTTTCTTTACTTGCTTTTTCCTTCAGTTCTCCAACCACAACGCTTTTGGCTTTCAATAAACCTGCTGATGAACAGGACTTCAGCTCCAGAGTTTCAGTTACCATAAGGCATTTATCTGGCAGTCTGAGGTATGCACATGTATGAGACAGACATATATCAGGAGGCAATACACCAAATCTAGATAGAAGTGCTAATCTATACATAAATAAACCAGTTATTATTTTTTATGAGGTCCATGCCCATATATAATTATATAATTCCCATCACTCCATTACTCACCTGTTCAAAGAGTTTCTTCTCTTCATCTTTTGATTTTTTTTTGCTGTCTTTTATTTCTTGACGGCTCACAGTTGGTAAAGCATCAAATCCAAATCCCATCCAATCATCTCTCTGAAAAAAAGAGAATTTTCTTGTTACTAATTAAGAAATTAAGTTTTATTGATAAAGCAAAACAATGTAACAGATAACCTTAGAATTATTTACAGACAAAAAAAAAAAAAAAGAAAGAAAATGGACAGCTTCTAAAACCAGAACAAGATTTTAACATTTTTGGATCTGTTAAATGAGAGAGTACATTTTCTGTAATCATTTTGTCAATACACGTCAATTTCATCACACTTCTCCTAATCCCTAATCAGCAGTGGTCGAGAGTTATATAGAACTAGCAGTAGAGCCCGGCGTTGCCCGGGGATGTAACAGTAAGAGATAAATCAAGTATCAACCATCATAAAGACTGAAAAATGAAATTGACAAAGATTATTGTTTAAGGTTGACGGACACGCATGTCTTAATTAGTTTTTTTTTTGTTTTTTTTTTTTACAAATTAGTCAAACACAAAATCAAACAAAAACATTGTTTTCAATCATTATGAGTCTATCGATTGAATAGAATTTTATTATAAACAATTGTCTTGTAAATGAAATTTTTAAAGCATTCTGAATGTAAAAATAAAGAAAAAAGTGTGCAAGACAATAAGAAACACTACCTGCCAAAAAAAAGTGAAGTTTTGTTGAAATCAGTTGAAATCCAATCCCATATATAAACAAACACACACACACACAAACAACCTGGGTTTTATAATAAGTATAACTCGATATGAGTTGTCCCCCTTTCATTCTGGCGGCAGAATTGTGTTTTATCGTGTTTTCAAATTGATTTTGTGCAAAAACAATTGTGTTTTTCCAATTTTTGGCGCTGTCAGAACCACCGCAAGATAATTTTACGCAGTCCTGTGAAGTTTTATTGAAATCAGTTGAAAAATGTAGGAAATCCGATCCAATATATAAACATACAGACACACACACACACAATCTGTGTTTGATAATAAGTAAGATTGAGAAAAATAAAGTGTGGAAATGATCAAGATGGAAAAGGAAATGAAAATATAATAACCACCATGGAGAAACTTTCCTAGCCACCATCAGCATGGCTGATGCTAGACTCATGGAGAGCAACACACTACACCTTCCTGGCCTCACATTCTCAAATAACCTGAACTGGAACACCTACATCGAATCAACAGCTGCATCTACTTCAAGGAATGTTGGATCACTATGACATGCCAGGTTTTTCTTCTCAGAGTCCATCTTGCACATTTACAAATCTACCATTTGTTTGTGTATTAAATACTGTTGCCATGTCTGATCTGGTGCTCCTGCTATTGATCTCAAAGTTCTAAAAAAATGTTTCTTTGCTAAGAAAAATACTTTGTAATATAGTATAAAAACAAAAATAACACATTAAACTAGGGACTGGCACAAAAAATGTGATAAGTTTTAAAATAAATTTTTAAAAATGAAAAATCTTTCTTGAAGCTATTATTTTAGTTTTAATTTCAAGCTAATAGATTATATTTAATATTCCCAATAAGCAAAATACTTTGCTGTATTTCAAAAACTAATTTAAATTGACTGGAAAGAGCTTCTTTTTTTTTTTTTTTTTTTTTTTTTCTAAAATAGCTGATTAGCACCCTATTTTAGTAATCCTTCATCAATATGTAATTCTCTTTATTAAAAAATTTTCCAAAAATAAAATATACTTTTCTGAAACTGAGGAATATTAGCTGATTTAAAGTATAATTAATCTGATTTGAAACAAATATTATTTGTTTTAAATTTTAAATCTTGTAGAAATGCACTTTTTAACCTGACAGATCTAATGTTGTTCTATGGAGATTTTATCTGTAAAACATAATTGAAGAAAATAACACGAGCAGCTTTTTAATATAATTTTTAAATACTCAGTAATCTTAAAAATTTAGGAAAATATCCTCTGTAACCTAATGTTTTATTGAATTTTAAAAATCTGGGCTTTAAATTTACTATAGTTATCACTCTTATATTCTCTTAATGTTGTAAATGATGCCTGTAATTAAAAAAAAACAAAAAAAAAAAACAGAACATTTATACACAAACAAAAAAAAATTCTTCTAAAAAGATTTGTGTTTGAGGATTTGTGAGGATTTGAGCTCTTCCATTTATGATTAATAAATATAGTTTTCACTTAATAATATCATCTCTAAAAGACTGAAATTAATACAGAATTTTAAAAGACTTAAAACTTAATAAATTTTTATTAAAATTTAAAAAAATTAAAACAGTTCTTCTAAAATTTCATTATTCATTGAAAAAAATTTTTTACTTAAGACAATAGTGTCCATAATATATCGTATTTATAAAAGCAATTAAAAGCTTTTCTAATTAAATAATATAGTTTACAGTTTTATTGCATTTTTTATTTTACAATTCAGAGCAGATTTTCAATAAATGGTGTTTCTGTTTAACAAAAACAAATTGATGATTTAAGTTCTCCAAGGAGTCCTGCTTTTAATAAATATGAAAAGGCTTAAGTTTTAATTTCTTGAAATTTCATAAAATTAATTAAGTGGGGGTAACAGATGTAGAAAAAAAGTAAATAAATAAAATAAATATTTTTACCAAGATTTAAAAAATAATTTCATTCATTTGTGAATAAGTCCTGAAAATTTTGTTAAAATCTGACAATTATTTAATTTTTGCAAGAATTTCCAAAACAATGTGTTTTTAATGCCAAAAAGGACACTAGAATTTCTAATACTAATCTTTGGCCCACTGCAAATTCAAGAAAAAAAAGATTTTTAACCAAAATTTTGAATGTCCTAGAAAGGATTAAAAAATTTAACTAAACAATAAAATATACTTTGATCTTTCCTCTTAATAATAACAAACATTTTGACAGTAAAACTTTGTATTTATCAAGTTTTGGGCCTTTTTTCATCACGGTATGCACTTTTTTTAGAAATGTTTTGGAGGTACCTACATTAAATACATTAGTTGCTCACCGTAACAAGACTGAACACAATTTTAACATAAAACATGCTAATCCAATTAAAACAGTAAGCAATTCACAAGGATGAAAATGTTTGAAAAGTGCTTTAATTGCTAATTCATCAGTAGTAAATTTGCAATTAGGTTCTTATGTTTCATCATTCTTGACAGATCTTCTGTTATCACAATGTGGGATACTTAATAACAAAAATGATGGAAACAAAAGAAAAAGAATCTAAATGGAATCGGCTAGATTATAGACCCAAACAAATAAAAAAAATATTCTTTTAAATTTAAAATTTGTAGTATCTCTCATTCATGTGCATGTGTAGTCGCGACAATGTAAGCATAGTACGATGAAATCCTAAAGAACAAAATGCATTGCATAAAACCTTTTTTCACTTTGTCATACATCTTTCCTCCATTTTGCAATATGTTTCTTTTCTAAAAGAATAATACTTTGTAATAAGTTTCTTCCCTATGAACATTAATACTTTGTAGTAGGTTTCTTTCCTATAAAAAATAACACTTTGTAGTAGGTTTCTTTCCTATAAAAAAATAACACTTTGTAGTAGGTTTTTTTCCTATAAAAAACAACACTTTGCAGTAGGTTTTTTCCTATAAAAAATAACACTTTGTAGTAGGTTTCTTTTCTAAGAGATTATTTCTATATAAAAATATGTAATAAAAATATTTTTAGGCAATAAAGGTATTAGTGTTTCACAAGGATGTTGATTACTTTTATTATTAACATCTGTTTTGTTTAATCTAATACATAGTAATAAAAACAGGCAAAAATATTTATTGATACAAAAAATTCTTACATTTCTGAAACAATGTCATTATTTTTTTTCAGTTTCTCTAACAACCAAACATTAAAACAGAAACTGAATTCTTAATGGGTTGAGCATTAATGCAGACCCACACTATTATTAATTTGCAAGCTTAATTGGAAATTGCTTTATTCTTCAACTTAAAACATTTTAACAGTTTTGACTTAACAAAAATCTATAAAGCACCATGTTTTCTCTTGTATTAACACATCACCAAAAAGAAATCAGAGCATTCTAATATAGATTATGTTTTTAGTTTTTTTTCCTTTATTTTTGTTTCATCTATTATCAAGTTTTTGCAACAATAGAAAAAATGAATAAATAATCAATTTATATTTAAATGTATTGTGAGCAATCTTACCTGCAGAACAGGTTTTGAAAGTGGTACAGCCTCTTCTGCTTTTTTGACAATATCTTTTTCTACCCACGTCAACTCTTCTTCATTAGTGTCATCCTCAAAAAAAAAAAAAAAAAAAAAAAAAACAATAAATAGATAAGTAAATATTGCTGTTGGAGTTTTAGGATAAGGAATTATCATTATTATTATTATATGATTTGCTCTTTGGACCAGCATTCTCATCTTGGTTGTTCTACTCATCAGCTGATTATAATAAGCAAGGTGAAAATGATGGTCCAAATAGAAAGAGTCCTTCAAGCAAATGGCAATAAAGAAGATATTTACTCAGTTGTATTATATAGAATAAGTGAAGGCCAAGTCCATTAAACTCTAAGATTTGGATGTACACTATCACTAGATATACCAAGTAAATTTCACAATTTCAGAACTGTCTGTGTAATGCAACAATGAAGAGCAGCAAATGCCTAGTACAAAGTTCCTTCTTTGACTAGCCTTCCTCTACTACTGTTTTTTTTTTAATAATTTTGCTCCAAGCAGGGCAATGAAGCCACTAAGACACAAGCATTACTGAGTGTTACAGAATATGAAACAAAAAAAAACTATTAAGGAGGGAGAACATTAAAAGAACAGGAATTAAAAAGACAGAAGATAAATGACTGAAATTACATTTAAATTTTTGAAAATCAAAGTGACTGGGAAACAAGCCAGAAGTGTGTCCCACAAGCGAGAAGTGTGATAGAAGAAACTAGTAGCATAGAACTTGGTTACATCTTGCCATTTCAACAGTAAAATGGTGAAACCTTCCTACCAATTTAGTACGCTTAAATTCATAAAGTCTAGGTACCAAAGAGGAAAGTTCATCAGAACAAATGCCATGAACATACTTATCAGATTAAGAAGCTGTTAGAATAGAACTTATGGTTACATCTTGCCATTTCAACTGTAAAATGATGAGACCTAGCTGCCAATCTAGTACTATGCTTAAATTCATAAAGTCTATGTACCAAAGAGGAAAGTTCATCAAAACAATTAACACAACAGTGGGAAAGTGACTGAAGCTGAGATGCCGGGTCAGGACCAATAATATTTCGATTTTATCGAGAATCTCTAAATATATAGCAGGATCACCAGACCAGATATGGCAACAATATTCAAAGCAAGGACAAATGGTAGACTTATAAATATCTAAGATAGATTCTGGTGAGCCTTATACCGATAAACTGGTACAGTGTGTTCTCTGAGTTAATCTTCCATATTGTGATTTTTGTTTCCATAAAAATTAGTTATTTACACTATTTACAGTGTTTAGATTGTTCTAGTTCTATATGCCATGCCTCTTACACATATTTCAGTTTCAGTTATTTCCCTTTAGTAATTCAACTCTCCAAGTTTTTGTTCACCTTTGCTATGGCCAGAGGCATGGCACATGGAACTAGAACAATTTACCCTGGTGGATGAAATAAAGGGTTCAGTTCAAAATTCCAGCATATATCACCTGAAGAAGGCTGGAATGTACAATAGCCAAAACGTTGTGAATATGACAATAACAATGAGGACAACAGTCTGAACAATGTAAATAGTATAAATATTAATAGTTAACTCATCTCAGAAATATAGACAGATATAAATTCAGGTATCTAAAATTATTGTTATCTAAAGACAATTTGTTTTTTTTTATTACAGACCTTATAAGATTCTGTCAAGGTTGACAAGAGATGTAATAACTACAACTGCCTGAAAAGGAGAGGTAATATAAGAGAATGGTTTACTTTAGTGCATGCCAACTCTTTTTTTTTTTCTGTCAACCAATGTGACATGCTAATTTTAACAAGCTAACTCTGTCAAAATGAGAAAAGTGCAAAGATTTAGATTTGCCACTTTTTTCTCCAATACAATATACCTGTAGGTTATCACTGCCTGCCACAGCTTCCCTTAATATCTGTAAATGGAGTACTGCTGCCATATCTGGGCTGGAGCTGCTCAATCCTCACTTTCCAGCCTTAATAAACTTCAAAATTACTTATGCAATCTTGTGAAAGAAGACTAATTTTCCACACTGCAACTTTTTTCCCCAAACAGACACAATATCGCAAGCCTACCTCTACTCTATTGCTATTCAGATGGGCTCCATTCTTTAATTCCATCAGTTCAGGCATGCTACAAATTAAGTTGTAGAGAAGACTAAGATATTTAGCTTTGTCAAGCCATCTAGAAGGAAAATTTTAAATTCCCAAACTTTAGTTGATGAAACTCATCAGCATAGGAACACATGACCATCTAAGGGAAGGAAAAACCTGACAGAAAAGTAAATCTTTCTCAGAGTAAAGAGGTTTGAGAGTAAGGCCAATTATGGAACAATTCCAGAAACCTTACAAGAGGCCTTATGTGAAAAAGCAGATAATACACACTTTGTTAAATAGCAATCATTCTTAAGATAAAAACAATAATAAAATGAAAGGTCTCTAATTTTACTTACTGAATCACTGTCTGAAGAAAGGTGCTTTTTCTTTTTTTTTGATTTTTTGTGTTTTTTCTTTTCTTTTTTGGACTTCTTTGATTTTGACTTGTGGCTACTCTGCAAAGTTAAAATGTTCTCCATAAAAGCAAAGAGATTTTAAAATTTCCTTACAAGTATTGTATTAGATAGTATATAAAACTGACCATTTTTCCATTTTAAATTTTAATAGCTTTATATTAAACTTGTTTTGAACCAAGTCAAATTCAGAAGCCAGATGAAATTTCAGTAACATTCAATTTTTTTTATAAAGATTCCCTGTTGAAATGATGGTTCTTATATCATCGAATATGTTAAAATAAAAATATAAATTCAACAAAACATTATGAAAAATGTAAAGCTTTATTAAGAAGTACATAAGTTTAAAAGCCATTTTTTGCATTGAAAGTGGTAATTACCTTAGCATTCAGATTACATCTTAGAAGTAAAGGAAAGTAAACAATGTTGCCCTTTTTTAATTATAGATTTTGGAAAATGAATTATAAATAATATTATATACATATTCTAGAAGAAATAACTAGAAAAATGTTTAAACATATCAAACTGCTGATGATAATTTCACTAATATCATTTAACGACATGAAGATGAATTAGGAAGGGATTTTACTATGAAAATGCATTTTACTATGAAAATGCATCAGAAAGGGATTTTATTATGAAAATGCATTGGAAAATGACTTTACAATAAAAATACATTGTAAATGATTTCAGTTAGGATGGTTAATTTTACAACATATCAACCCTTGTTGCATTAATTAATGCTGAATTTTGCATCAGACACTCAGTAAGGATCAAAGTCATGATTTATTAGTAATAGTCAATCAGGTTAGACTCATTAACCATTACCCTTAAAAAGGCCCACCCTGAAATTTTGGGTAAAACTTCAAGAACACAACAAGAATAGGATAAAACTGAATGTTTAAATAAATGCAAGATCAATTGCTTTTTGTTGTAAAAAGAAAGACAATGTTTTATAAATATTAAAAAGATACTTAAAATGCAACAAGTATTTATAAAACTGATAATGTACCACAAATACTAAAGCAATGTTTTTTAGCTTTAAAAAAAAAAAAGAAATTGTATATAAAGTTTTGAAAATATTTTGGGATAGGCAAATCACTTATTAAAAAAAAGAAATGAATAAAACTGTTTTACAAAATGTTACAGTAAACCTAAAGTGGTTAAATTTGCACAATAATGTAAAAAGCTTCCTACCTGTTTATCGATTGTCTCCAGCACTGATGGTAACATCCAGTCATCATAGCCACGCTTCTTACTCTCTTCTTTTCTTTTTTCAACTTTCTGGAAATCTGATTTTGCCTAAAATTAATTTCAAAACAATGAGTTATTTATACAGGATGATTGAAAAGTAACTCCCTATTTCATGTATGTGTGGCCAGCCAGGAGTTATGACTTAAAAAATATTCTGTGACTTTTTTCTTTGTGGTTGGTTAAAGGAGCAAGTCTACTTTACAAACCAAGACTTTGGAAGAACTTGAAAGAAAATACAAAATGTTATGTCTTCCATACCATAAGAGTTTCTGGTGAAATCAGTTGACATAACAGCTTGAGAAACTGGTAGTGAAATCTGGTGCCCATATTGAATTTTAACGCAGGCTTATCATCTCTAAGTTGTGTCTCTGTATTTGGGCAGAGTACATTCAGGGGCTTCTCTGTCAAAGGATAGAGGACAAACTGAGAAAATTATACTGAAGAGGTGCCCAGCCCTGGGGAACAGCTGCTTGAGGCCGCGCCCACCCATTGCACAAGAGGGAGGGATCGGTGCTCGCACCGAGGCCAGCAAAACCGACGGTTGCAGGGGTTGTGGGGAATTTTTGTCTCTTTTGTGTACGTACTCGGGTCCCCACTTTAAAAAGACCTTGTGTCAAATCTCGTCCTCATGGGGGAACAAGTAAACACCATGAAATCTGGTGCCCATATCGAATTTTAAATAAAACCTCATGCTAAACACTTTCCTCTTGTATCCATTTCTTGCAAAAATTCTACTTAATAAATTATGAGTATTGCAAAATGAGGAATTACTTTTCAATCACCCTGCTGATTAGTATAAGACATGTATTTCTTCTTAAATGGGAAAAAAAAAAAAGAAAAAAACAAAATCATGTTTTACTTGGGGGTGGGGTAAATAAAAATCTGTCCAGGGGAGATAACTCTGGAGACATTACCTACTAATTACGGAGTTATTCCCCTGAGATTTCTTAAGAAACTATGATTACCAGTATTAACATTAATAATAACATTTGACTTCTAGTATAATTTAAATATGTGAAGAGTAGCGATTATAGTATTCCACTAGAGAAGAATAAGTTTGTCCATAATCCGTTTATCTGACTACTACAAGATTTTACAACAATGACACCACTGACAGGATTCAAGTTATTTCTGGAAGAACCAAATTGTGTCAGAGTCTGACTGATGCGTTTCACTGTTACTTTCAGAAGTATGGAGTTAACACAGCAAGGCAGTTGTGAAAGACACAATATGATATAGTACTTTACAACAAATATAATTCTTCATAATTAGTATATTCTAATAATTATATGAAGTATAAAATAATAATAATACCTATTAATTTATGTAAAATATATAATTTAATGTATGTCAAAGCAAATAGAATTTTTGCCAATGGTTTCAATAGCTATCAAGAGACATAATTATTGTATCATAAATATTAAATGTTCATGATACTTATCAAAGATCGACTCAGAATTTCATGATTCTTCACTCTTATTTGGATCCTGACATGCAAAGAATTATGATACTCTGAATAGATCTTCAATAAGTATCATGAACTTTTTATATTTTTGATAAAATAATATAAACTGTATAAATAGGAAATTTATCATAAAAGAACCCTAACCCTAATTACAAACTACTTAATTAATTTTAAAATAAGAAAAAGGTTGAAAAATTAATAATTCTCTCAAACAAAGAATTTTATTTATCTATTTAAAAGACAATTTTCAATCATATTCTTTTTCAATCCTTTTAATTATATCATACGCACTTTAAGATGGCTTCTCCTGTAGTGAATATTTTATTTAATATCAGCTGCTTATTTATAATAATAGCTTCTTGAGTTTTAAGTAATTCCTTGCATTGGGTGCTGTAGAGTATTTGTGTGTAAAAACTGTGAAAATGTTCTATATATCTGAATACTTGCAGCAATTATATTAGCCATTATCAAGGATTTTTTTTTCTGGATAGCCCACAATGTGACCTTGAATCATATGTACATCTTTTATACACCATTTCTCTATAAGATATGGGTGATCATGGCTCTCCACAACTCTCTCTCTTGTCCTTTACAATCCCTCTTTGTCCTTGTTCAACCGTCTATTCATACAAATTCATTAAGTAGCTTATGCTGTTTCCTCCTGATTCTCTTGTCTTCCAATCGTGTTATTGTTAAATTCTCTAGGCTGTCTTTCCTCGTTACATGTCAGAGAAATTTCAATTGTCTCTTTCTAATTGTTCGTTCCTTGTATTTTCCTTAAAACTCCTTTATTATTCACATGTTTTGTTGTCATATTCTCAGCGTTTGCTTATAGAACCACATTTCTATCACTTCAAGTCTCTCATCATCATCCTTCAACCTCTCTGTGCTTGGTCAGAACTCCATTAACAATCCCTTCCCACACTGCTTGGTCCTGCATTGCTGACCACAGATCCCCAATGTCCAACCTTGAATCCCGAGTCATGGTGGCTGAGAAAATCAACTTTTGTGAGAAGGCACCTCTAGAAGGATGCCAAAGAAGTAAAGATGAGACAGCATCCCCATCTGCTCAGTGGCAGTGACCAGCAAACTGCAATTGCTTTTGTTTGATCTTAAGAGAAATTGGTCTCAGTTCTCCATAAATTGTGTAAAGCATTGAATGGGATTTCCAACTGATGTTCTGGATTTTTCTAGGCAGATTTGTATATGTTCCATCCAGTCGTCTTTCAAGATGAATAGATAATGTCCGAATTTCTGATACATGCAGTAATCTCTACTCCATTGGCAATAATATTATCCAGCATTTATGACTACATAAAATAGGCATGGTCAACCTTTTTCAAACAGTGGGCTGTATGAGGTACAGTACATTATAAGGTGGGTCACACTACTAAAAAAATTAAGGTATTTGTTTATTAAAGATACTGTTGTCATTTCCCCCAACAAAAGCATCTGCCTTAAAAACAGAGAATTTTTTTTTTTCTTTGGAGAAAAGATTTTTTGTATTAAAAAAAAAAATTGCAGGCAAACATTTTTACAGCACTTAAATAAACATTTCTAGAGCTGTGTTGTCATAGCATTATTGCCTAGCTGTCCTGGCCTGTTTTTGGTTTTCAAATGGAAATTGTCATTTACTGGAAATAAATGACTATAAAGAGGCTGATGATGATTTTTAATAGATGCCCCTTTTGGTTTCAATTACATATGCTGCAGTATAGACTAAGCTAAATGACAATCCCCAAAAAACATCATAAAAGTATGTCAGAAAACACAATGGACTAACATTTTGTGAAGCCTTGAAAATATATATCTACATCAGATACAGGCAACCTTTTTCAAACAATGGGCCACATGAGATATATTACATCATAAGGCAGGCTGCACTACTAAAAGAATTAAGATATTTTTTATTAAAAGATACTGCAACCATTTTCCCAACAAAAGCATCTAGCTTAGAGATAGGGAACAGCTGATATTTTTCTTTGGAGAAAAGATCCCATGTATGATTAAAAACATTGAAGTCTTGGTATAATATTATCACTGATGACAGCATGATTAACACACATTGCTGAATTATGTGACCTGTTTCTAATTTACTCATTTGAGTAGGCAAAAATATTTGTAAAAGAAGAATTATTACTGATATTTCCTGTTTCTGAAGCAAAAGATGTTTACGCATATGATCTTCCTTAGTGAAAATCAACAATAGTTTAAAATGCTGACAATGTTACCTTCAATGAAGTTTTAACATTGTACTTATCATTGTTTATGTATGTGGTTATGCATGAGAGTGTGTGAGTGAACAAGTGAGAATGAAAAGAAACAAACAACATTTTAATAAATATTATTTTCCTTGTGAAATTAAGCATGCCATTCAGCTAGACAATCAGGCTGTATATGGCATGTGGGCCACAGCTTGCCCATGATTGATAAAGGAGATTCAGCATTCATTTTCATTGTTTCTATTGATATTTTCCCATGTCTTAATACTTTACTTAATTTCTTAAAAGCATCTTTCTCTATCCTTATGCATCTTCAGATTTCTGGATCACATTTTTCATTGTTTGCTACTACACTATCTAGATCAGTGAATCCTGGGAGTTCATGTAATATGACTGGGGGTCCTCACAAAAAAGATAGCAAATTTGGAGTCCACAGTAATATTTTAGTGGTCCATAGAGCAATTTCACTTTGGAATGGTTGTTACAACTTAGAATTGGAATTTCTACAGTAATCTGTGCCATATTTAAATATCAAAAATAGAAAAACAACTCTAAAAGAAGCAGAAAAACAATCAAGTTAGCATCCCTATTAGTTTTGTTTTGTTTTTTATCAAATGGTTATGGGCTATCCACCAAAAAAAAAAAAAAAAAAAAATTAAGAGTAAAAGTGGTCCATGCGTAAAAAATGGTTCAGAACCACTGGCCTAGGTGTTGTGGAGTTATTTCGCAGTGGAGGCTTGTATTTGTACTAAATCGGTCCTAAATAGGTTCGACGTACAAAACATTAGGAACTTGATATAATAGGTATTACGTAGAGTAATCTTGTTGTGGTCGCTGACTACTTTCGTATTTGACTGTCAACTACTGTTGTCCGACATCAACTGACACTTGTTTCTCTTACTTATATTGGATAGGAGAGTATATTACCTATAGAATAGGTGTGTTTCACCATAACACTAGGATATTGATGTCCCTGTATGTGGATACCCTACATTAAAAAGACTATGGGCCACATTTGCAGTGAGAAATAAATACTGAAGTATTTGATTCACAACTCTCTTCATGATGAATTTGAATAGTTAATGTACAAATACAAATAACTGTCTTTAAACATATTTCATTTTGTCTGTTTTAACGCTTCAAACAATATTTACATCTCAAATTGATTTACCTCCCCCTTATAATACATCCTAGGCTTTAGCTATATGAATTTTCACATCCTCTTCAGTAGAATTTATCTCACTCCCTAGGTATTTAATGGATGTAATCTGGAAATCTGATCTACCAGACAACCTCAACCAGAGATTCTTTCGAGCCACTGTAGAGGCAGTGTTATGGTGTCACTGCCTGGACATTAACTAAAACCCTAGAGTCTATACTCAGATGCTGAGAGCTATACTTAACATCTCCTGAAGACAACATGCAGCTAAATTACAGTTCTATGTACCCATCCCTGACAGCATAAGATTGTCAGGGATGGGTCCACAGAGTGTCCTGCAAAGTGCATTCTGCATTAACATATTGCAGAATGTACTTTACAGGATACTGCTGGCAAGCAAAACTCGCAAGTGATTTACTGTTCTGGACATCTAGCCATTGAGCAAGATGAGCTGATTGTCCAACAACTGTCTACATTGACCTTATAAGAAATTGAAGCTGCTTGAGCATGTATCATCTGATTTTCTGAGAGAAAACAGACACTGTGATCAGCTCTTGCTTAAAATTTTGAATTTTGAAAATATTTTTGGACCATTCTGATTTGTTGGAAAATAACTGCATTTAGTTTTCACCCAGAACTAGTCAAAAGATTTCCCTCCAAATTCCAAAAAGCAAATCTGGAGCCTATCTAGGTGAATAAAAGCAAAAACAAAATTGAATTCGAGAAGTCAACCTGCTGCAGGTCGGCCCGTTAAAAGAAAAAGCAACACAGAAGAAATTTGACAGCCACCAGACGAGAATTTGAAACATCAAAATCACTCCCACATCAGGGAAAATTCTTTGGCTGGTGTAATTATTCTATTTTTCACTGTTACCACAAACTTTGCTTTAAACATTGTACCTATACTTTGAAAATTATTCAGAGAAGTACTTTCTCCCCTTTTTTCATTTATTTTTTACAAAAATATTTTGTTGTTTATCTTTTCTGGGAGCATAGTGATTTTTATTGTAAAAAGAGTCGTATTTTATATGCAGTGATTATTTGTACATACAGGTTATTATTGGCCATCATTTGACACAAAAAGCACTTAATTTGTCTAATTCTTTCATTTTTGTGTGTGTGTTAATAAATTTATCGTCTGCATTTTTAACGTTTATGTCGTCTGTCTTTGTTGTGTCCCCTTGGCTTTATAAATGTTACCTCAACAAATAATTTTTTTTAACCAAATAAAACAATTCCTTTAGACCAGCTGTGTTATGAAACAAAATAATTCCCTAATGACATGCTTGATGCAGAACGAGATGGTTGGCGTGATAGACTCAAGAATGACCAAGCTAAAACTCAACCAAATAAAGATAACACACGTAAATAAATTCTCATGAAAGTGAAAGAAACTCATTCATAAGCCTTTCTTTCAATAATGAAAAGACGTGTATTCGAAATAAAACGGAAAAATACTCTCCGAGAAATGTAATGTAGCTTATTTCAACTATTTTAAAAATCTGAAATTTAATTCACCATTTGTGACCATAAGAATTTGAAAAAAAAAAAAAAACAATAATAAAAATGAAAAATGGTCCAGCCTACCAACATCAAACAAAAAATATAACGAAAACTCCCTCGAAAATTCACTGGGTTTCTTGGACAAGGTATGACTAAAGTTTGACACAAAAATTTTAGAATTTTGGAAACTAATTTATTTTTAAAACTTTGACATTTATTGATCATAAATAATTTTATTTCACATTTCTAACGTTAATTAGTTTTTCATTTTATATCGAATGCATGACTTTCCATATCCCCCCCCAAAAAAAGGTTCACAATATTATTCTCGTTCAATTATATTTACATGAAATATAAGGGTATGTAAAAATCATTTGAAACGCTAAAATGAACAATACTATTTTTTTTACTATTTTGTTTACTAGCTGAAGATGTTTGGAGTGTTGATATTTTTAAACGTAGCACCACCGTACGAAATTCAAGTGAAATAAAACGGAAGTCACATATGTAGTAAAACATAAAACGACTAATTAATAACTTACTTTTTCTATGATATTCTTACGAGCTTCTTTCAGTTGTTCTCTCTCTGCAGCAATTATCCGCGAACTTTTGAATACGATCGGCTCCATCTTGTTTATTACAAATCTACTTCCGGTTGTGTTTCAAGACTTGAGAATTATCTCCCCTTAAATTTTCTCCGTCATCTAAAAATTTCTAGGGGAGTAATTTGCTTTTTAAGCCTCGTGCTAAGTATCTAAAAAAAAATCCCCGAATAGTTATATTTAGGTGTAAATTTACATGCTTAATTCGAAGATAAAGAAATTTTAATAAAATCTACTGTTTTGGAGTTATCGACATAAAAGTTCAGACTCATTTGCATTATGGCACAACAGCCACTACTGGTGTTGCTTGTATACATTCGCTGCTGATTAGATTTGCGCGGAAGATTACCTTGTTAACGGTCTTTTTATTGCTCTTACTTGTCTCTATTACTGCACAACTGAGGACACATCTGCGCACAATCATCAAGATGGTATCTACCAACTACCCCCTGCAGTCAGATGTGGCACAAGGCCGAATTTAATGCAGGGTTCCTGAATCCATAGGCTCAGCCAAAAATTCTCCATAGACCCCCGTATAAAATGGAATCGAATAACTGTTTCTCGAGACAAGCCTCTGCCCTTTGACATAGCCCTATCTGGGGATCCTCACTGCCCGAAGGTAGAGAGTTTGACCAGCACAACTGAAGACAAATCTCCAACTGCAGGCCGGCAATCATCAAGACAAGTGAATGTTAAATCTGCAGCAAATATATGCAAAAAACTGCCACAGTGTGAATGGATCTGAATTTCTATTGTCAATAACTGCTAAACGGTAGATTTTATCAAAATTTCTTTGTTATTTCTGAATTAAGCATGTACATTTACATCTAGATATAGCTATAATTTTGTAATTGTTTTAACAAATTTTTGAATAAAAAGATTTCTTTTCAAATTTATTTCTCTATAAAATGGTAAATAAAAAATCTTTTAAAACGTAAATAATAAATATCATATTGTATTTAGTTCAAATATTTTTATAACCTTGTATATAAATATTGCCGAGGAAGTTAAAAGTGTGTAGTGAGTGCAAAATAATAACTTCCTTTAACCACTCTCTTCAGATTTGGAGGACTGAGGAAAAAGTGAAATGTTAAATTTTCTTTAGACCAATGAAAACCTTGTCTTCACAGAAATTGACTGGTGAAAGAAAGAAGAAATAAACTCACAAGTATATATGAAATTTTCTTTGGACCAGTGAAAAGCTTATTTTCACAGAAATTAGCTGTTGAACTAAGATGAAAGAAAAGAAAATAGAAAGCCTATGTGATATAAAATGAGGAGAAAAATTAAATTAATAAGAGAAGAGTGTCTGAAGTCATGTGAAAGGTTTCCTTTCTGTTCACTGTGTCCAGCATTAAAGTTTTCACCAGTATTAAATTACTTGTCAATTACATTATCAGCCTTTAACTGAGCACATGACACTGCAAAGAATTTTCTCTCAACAATCTAAGAAACCTAAGTAGTTCAAACTATCTTTCTTCATCTACTTTTGAAAGTATGCAAACTTTTGTGAGCAACAAACTCTGACTGTTGTTTTAAACATTTTTTATTATTTTGTGTCAGATCATTTAATCACTTGTAAGAACATTTCCTATTCATGACAATTCATTTAAACCAAAGTTTCTCAACGTGGGCTGTATGGCCCCCATGGAGCCAGGAAATATTTTCTGGGCCACAAGACCAAGTTTGAAAAATGGGGAGGGGGCACAGTAAATTTAGGACCCACAAAATTATATATATATATATATATATATATATATATATATATATATATATATTTTTTATAATTAATAATTATTATTTAGAATATTAAATTTATTATTAAGTTAAATATTAATCTAAGCCATTTTGTTAACATAAATATTTATTTGTTGTAATTTTTTCTTCTGATCTATGCAAAATGGCCATTTTTAGTTTTCAATTTCTTAAAATTTGAAAATCATAATTTAAAGTTTAAGTTAAGGTATGTTTTCACCAATTTGTCTTTCAGTTTTGAAAAGCTAAATGCCTGGAACAAAGAGCTCCAAGAAAATGACTCCACCCTGTTTTCTGGCAAGGAGGAAATTAATGCATTTAATGGGAAACTAAAGCTGTTCTGATTGAATCTTGGGAGACAGGAGTTAGCAAATATATCCACTGAGCTTCTTGATGCTGACCTAGCAGTGTATGCTGATCATTTGAAGCAGTTGCATAATGATATGAAATCTCATTTCTCTGATTGACTCCAAATGACAGTACCACACTGGTTTGTGGATCCCTTCATTGCTGATACAGCTGAAGTTGATGTCACCCTACATGAAAGTTTCATTGAACTTCAAAATAACACAGCAGCTCAAGCAAGTTTCAAGCATGGAGGATACCAGAAGCAGTAGATGAAAGACATGCATAAGAATTACCCACTACTCTGCAAAGATGTGAAGTTGCTCCTAATCGCTTTTCCCACATCTTACTTGGTTGAATCTGGTTTCAGTCAGATGATGCATCTGCTGTCAAAGATTCAGAATCGCTTTGACATAGAAAAAAAAGAGGCGATTTACGTCTCTCTTTGACGGCTTACAAGCCAAACATTGACAATTTGGCAGCCCTGCTTCAGTCACAGGGATCCCATTGAAACCATACAAGATAGTGCTGATGGTACATGTAGGTTTTGTTTTGTAAATAAATTAGTTTATTCGAATAAAATATTCATCCAAATATTATTTTTTGATTCACAACTGGAGTTAGTGTTTTGATGCCATAGTCCTACTTCCCGAGATGTATTAAGTTGAGGGACAGAGAAGGAGGGAGAACTCAAGTTGGTATGAAGGGGGGGGGGCATAAAAAACTCACATTGGATTGAAGGAGGCCACAACAAGGTTGAGAAACATTAATTTAAACTACGGACTTTATTTAACTAAAACAAGCTACTGACAACTTCATGTGTGCATATTCATAAATTAATTCATCTTTTGTTAAGATTACCTGTGTTTTCTCATTATCAGTCTTCATTAATCCTCTTGGTATGGATAAATCAACTGTTTATTTTAACCTATAAGCTTCATGCCATTATATATGTATACAATAATAGTAGCATCAAGGGAATAACTGTCCTTTTAACAGTTTTTTTGCAGGCAGGAAGGTTAAATGTTGTCACCTTTTCTTTTTTTGTTTTTCTTTCTCTATCTCCCTCTATCTCTTCATCCTAGAATGCAGTAGGTAGAAAACTTGTCCAGTCTTCTCTTCTAGGGAAACTTAATCACCCAGCCATATGGTGCATCTCCCACAAAACCCTATAAATGTTTTTTTTCATACTCTTTTCAGTTATACGTGTACAGATAATAGTATTTTCTTTTTTTGTGAATCATGTTATTCATTATATCAAAATGTGATGAAATTTATTCCTGGAAATGTAGAATTCAGCTTCTCCGATGATTATCAACTTCAATTTTAGACACACAATCCTCTACAAGTTTCATGGAATTCTTTTACATCTGCCATGTTGATAACATTATGCTAACAATCCTCTCACTGTAGACTGATGTACCAGGAACTGAGGGCACAAATGAAAGTCTTCAACATTTTTTTTTAAATCGAGTGCCACTTGTTGATATGTTTTACATTGTACAAACAATTCTCATGATTCAAAGCTCTAATCTCTATACAATCACACACACAGAGAAAAAAAGATATTATAGATATTTTATAGAATATATATTTATTTCATATTATAGATATTATTAATATTAGATTATAACATTATTTTAGTTATATCCTCCTCCATTATTATAAATTATATTGATTTTCTAAGCGCAGCTTATATGTGGCACAAGACCAAAAGTATGGGGCATCTAGTGAGGATTGAACTCACTTTTCAGTCATAACTGATCTAGCAAGACAAGCTTGCTAACCATTACACTACGCTGAGGTGCCCCAATTATTATAAATTATATGGTAATGATGTTCAAGGAAAAGTATTTTTAAAATAAAGGATATCTGACATCAAATTCAATGAAGAACAAGAATAGAAATAGTTAAATTAAAAACTATTCTTTCTGATAAAGTGATACTATAATTGGGTCTCACATAGAAAGTGTGATCTTATCTCAAGTGTTTCTGTTTTATAGTCAGTAGATCGGGGTTTTTTTTTTTTTTTTTTTTTTTTTTTTAATTTTCTAAGCAGCATCCACTTTGACCAAAGGGGAACAGAAGAGTAAATGAGTAGATGAGAGCTTTTGTAGATCAAGTGATAACAAACCTGACATTGATTAGTTTCATTTGCAGGTCTATATTAAATGGTGACACTTTGAATTATAGCTGGCAGTTCTAGTCTGCTCTTTGCGGTTGACAGTGTTTCATGTAGTTCTGATGCTACCCACTCGTATTGTCAGCTGCACATGTAGATGGTCAGAAAAGTTGTGGGGAGGGGAGCTGAACTATTATCCTCGTTACATTCAGTGGGCCTTTCCCAGTTTTTGGTGCACACCAATGTAAACCAAAATCATTGGCAAGTCAATGGAAAGGGAGTGATCTCCAGTATATATATATATATAAATAAAAAAAAAAAATTGACAACTAGTCAAAGCCCATAGTTGGCAAAAAAATGGATATATGCCTTTCCAGATAAATTAGTACCACCTAAGTAAAACGGACTTGGTCAAAATTTGAATTTAGTATGCCGATTCCATTTTAAGCATGTAACCGTTACACTATGTTGTGTGTGTGTGTGTGTGTATATATATATATATATATATATATAACCCCCACAATAACAATCTACAATATATCAAAAACAGGCATCAGTGAAATGCTGGTATACATTTTTTTTTTTTTTGTCATTTTACCCTAATCAAGGCAATAAAGCCCTAAGATGCAAGGGTCTAATGAACCTGAGAGAACACGAGGGAAAAAAAAAAACAAAACAAAACATTAAGGAGAAGAACAATAAAAGAACAGGAATTAAGATAACACATTTAAATTTTTAGAGACCAAAGTCAACTGGTGAACAAGAAGCTAGAGGAGAGTTCCACAAGCAAGAAGTGTGAAAGAAG